GTGTTCTTAGCCTCACTGAATAAGTCAGAAAAGCAAGATGCTTTTGCTTGACGCTTAGATCGAGTAACGTCATTCCGAAGTCTTTTGTACTCCGACCACTTAGTAGGACACTTAGAGGCTACGGCTAATTAAAAAGCTTAAATCTCCTGTTCATCTTTGGGCGTATTTCATTTGTTATCCACGGTGGTGCAGAAACACAGAAAACAGAGACTGCCAGGCCCACAGGAAATCATCCATATCCTCAAAACTTTCGGTGGCATGAAATGGGGCGTTAACGAGGTCAGATTTGAAGCTGTTTACGTCAAAGTTCTCATAATTCCGTATTTTGATGACTCATGGAGGCGGCCTTTTGTGTCTTAGACGTGAAGTGGCATAGATTGAATCATGGTCAGTAATACCAAGTGGAAATACTCCCGTGGAGCTTACCAAATCCCTACGGGTCGTGACAATGAGATCAATCAGCGTAGATGAATCAATTATAGTTCTCCTTGGTTTAGTGATGATGTTTTGCACATTGAAATTATCAAAAATGGTTTGCAGCTTAGTACTATATGCTATATCACTAGAGTCACTGTAGTCATACACAATTCAGGTCTCCCATGCCCTCTCCAAAGTGGTATTTAATGTATTGAAAAAGGCATTTTCATTTGGCGGTCTACACATTACTGAAAACAAAGCAGAAGTTGTAGGAAACCTAACTTATAGCCATAGTGCCTCAATACATGGAGTGTGCAGGTCCCTTCTATGTACAGCTTTAAAATATTCAGCGTGGTATAATATACAAACCCTAAGCCCTCTGCCCCTCCTTCCGTTCCTGCCAAGACGTGCAAATTTCATTCCCTCGATCTCCAGTTGAGAGTTTGTGATGGAGTTGTCTAAGTGTGATTCAGTAATTGCTATTATGTCAAACCTACAAAAGACTTGCAAACACCTTATTTCGTCTATCTTATTCCTTAAACTCCTCACATTCAAGTGGGTCACTTTGATTTCTTTTGAAGCGCAGCTCTGCACTTTGTCGGCCAGGTCTTTCATATAATTCTCCTCGGTAATCATTCTTGTGTCGTTTCTTGTGTCTGAGACATTCAAAACATATTCTTCACAGTTAGAACACAACCACGTATGGTCATTAGAATTTTGAAAGTTCACGTATTCGACTGGCGAAACGTTACACCATTTTATATGTGTCCTTAACCCACATCCATCGCAAGTCATCGATCTGTGTGTTTTTGCTACGGCTTTTTCGCATACCGTGCAAGGATTCTTGACTGGTCCTGGGTTCAATTGTGGTGCTTTAAAAAAAATACCACTTTTTAAGAGAAAAAGATTTCGATTTTAGTTCGAGCATACAAACACCCGCGAAGGTGGAGGTGATAAACACTTAGGGCCGGCTTTTATACAATCCTTCCTTATATATATATATTTAAACACGTGACACCTAGGAGTACCGAAGTTCTCGTTTAAACGTGTACGTGTATTAGAGATCCACCCAACCCAACCCAGGGGAGGACATCCATCACACAGTAATCTCGTGCGTGGGAAATTAACGTCTCCTACCCCAAACCCTGCAGGAGACGGGACCTCCGGCTTCACGTCTTATCCGAGAAGACGTAAATCGCAAGGTGAGTGAAGCGACTTGCTTAAGGCCACAACGTAGTGCCCCATCCAGGACTTGAACCCGGACAGTCCAACCCAGAGTCCAGCGCTCTGACCACTGGGCCACTCACGCCTCACACAAGAAGTCTAACCCAACAGCGGAATCGTTGGGCCTTAGCTTTCTCTGTCAGAGGGTTAGTTTATATTAAATAAATGTGTCTCCATTGTTATATTACTAAATAAAGGATTGTTTAGGACATGGCTTTGTTAAGCAACGGCTAAACTTTGTCAATAAATAATCATACGTAATTAGAGCCGTTTAACCCTCAATCATCCAAACCGCGCTCTAAACAATCTTAAATCAAGCTAAGCAGAAAATATCATCGAAACGTTAGGTTTTTTCCGAAACTGTTTAGAGGGCTTGTATTTAACGCTAAAAGAAAAATCTAATTGCATCAAAAACCCCGCCTGTGAGGAACTTTCGTAGTTCATGAAACGTCAAAACCGCGGCCCAAATTAGACCTCGTTTCAATTACCGACTGCGGCAATAATGCTTGCTTCCGAGAATCTCGATGTTTTCTGAACATTGAGAGTCGAAGGGAAAAAATAACCGACTGTTTCCCGTGGAACCAGAATTAAGTGGTTTGTTTCACATCCAGACGAACATAGTAAACAAGCAAAAAAATGAACGTTCATAACAACACAACTTTATTTCCTGGAAACACTGCAGTCGAACTGCAAATTTCCCTCTAGCAAGGAGCTCTACCAAAAAGTAGCCCTCATCAAAGCCTTCGAGAATATAACTCCCCGGGAAGTTCTGTTGAATCTCACCGTAGCAAAATTTACGAACTTAACTTTAGAATTATAACATTTCTTATCATATAGAACTATGTGATTGATATAAATGACTCGTAGGCAGTTGGCCTGGTTTCAGATGTCCAAGTGAGAGAAAGTGGCCTTCACTAAGTTTGTAGATAGACATCTTGACAAAAAGTTTCTCAATCAAAAGTGTTTGTATTTTTTTCCCTTTCAGTTCAGTATTTACACACTCGCTGAAAAGCCAGATGATGTCGAAGGAAGTGAAGCTCATGCCAAACGTGTTTTTGAACTTGCAAACGTCTGGTTTAAGGAACTTGAAATAAAAAACACCTTCAAGCCCAAAGTGTTAGCTAAGATTTCAAAACCCGCCGATAACAAGCATTCTATTGGGTCTTCAATAGCAGTTAGTCATTTCTTAAGGCCTATCTGTTTGTATAACAGAATAATCCGTCTGAAACGGACTCTTGCAAAAAAGATTTTACATTTCGCTCCTCTGGAACTAGAGAAAAAGGAATGGGTTTTTGAAGCATTTCAACAGAAAAGCGGAGACGACGGATATCGTTCTAGAAAAGAGACCTGTAAAAACTGTAAAATGATCTTCTTTGGTGATTATTGGGGAGAGGGACATTCCACATTTCTTGGAGCATGTGCAGAGTATTGCGCTGTCAACGAGCTTCTTCCAACTGAAGAAACTTCACAAGATAAAGTTGATGAAAAAGACTCTCCCCTTCTGAAAAGAAACTTATCTCGATGTTCACTTCTTTTCGAAGGCTTTAAGGACATATCAGAAAAATGCATTTATGTGTGTAAACAAAAAAATTGTGACGAGAACTCGCTAAAGGAAGTGTATTGGAAAGTAATATATAAATTGCACATTTTTGGTCTTAAACCAGAATGTAATCCTTGCTTTTAATTTTTCTTACCCTGTACTCTGCGTAAGAGGTTGGCAGGCGGTGGCAGGGTGTTATACTGATCTATTTTAGTTTTCAAAACATATTGAACGAGATCTGTCTGGAAAAAAATTCTTGATGTGCTTTGTCTTACTGTCGAATATACTATGCCCGCAAATCTTCAGATTATGCGAAAATTTCGAGTAGACTGATCCTCAAAGTCCGTACTTTACACTTGATGACTAGATCGTTTAGTTGAAATGGCTATGTCTACATGGCTTTTTGAAGCAGCGTTTTGAAGAAATGGATTGTGCTTTGCAAATCTGAGATACGTGTTACTTCAAACCTAGTTGTTACACTTGATTAGATTTAATTAAGAGTAATAAGTCTTGTATGATGGATATTAAACAGCTTTGTAGCCTTTTACACGATAACTTCGCTTATGATTAGAAATTTACAAGTTGCTTGGCTGTCGGATAGAGCAGTATGTTGACTATGATTTATTGCGGGCACCCGCAAATTACTAATAAAGCTAAGCCTCTATTACAAGAAGTGACCTATGATGTTAAAGCCTAGTTATACTCTTCTGTAGTAAAATTTTACTTGTTTTCAGGTTACTTCGCGAAAACAACGGTGACTTTCAAGTTATCAAATCTACTTTGCAACTCAGTTGCAACAACAATTCAGTATATCAGTATTTGTTCTGCATAGTAACTTCAAATGAACTATTGTACTCTAAGCTGTATTGGAAAAAAGAGAAAGATTAGTTTTTGCATAATACTCGTTTCAAACAATGGCTGTTTGATACCATTTTTTACTATTTAAGGCACTTGAAAAGTTCGCCGTCTTTGAAAATCAAAGTTTTTCTGTTCCTCAGAGTAGCAAGTCAGTAAAAGTAGGATTTAATTAAAAGGATAGCAAACCAGGAATTGAAAGTCCAGCCATAAAAATTCAAAGACCTGCCTCTTAACTGTGGTGATGCAGAAAAGTAGTCAGCTATAGTACCTGAGTCAGAATAGGGTAAGTTTTCACTTTAAGGAGTATTTACAAATAAACCTCCCTTCAGAGCGCGAGTTACGAAAGCAAGTTTAGTTAATTTATCTCAAAGTTCTTCCTCGAGATATTTACCAGTGTGGCTAACGATGTAATAAGGCTTCTGTTCTACGTGTCAATTTTTAGATTTATGTCATTGCCATGGCAACATCATCTCCAATGATAGGCAGATATATTCCAATTTTAGCCTCGATACCTTAATATATTTACTTTCCCACAGTAAAATGTCTGCCATAAATAGAAGGGAAGTATGGGAGACATAAGGACTGATAAACCTTACCTTTCTTTAATATTTGTAACATTGACATGCCCTTTGAAATTAGGTTTTGAAAATGGGCAACCATTCGAAGCAATTTTCCCCCTGGGTTTCCAAATTTGAAAACCTATTGGCTTTCAGCGAGTAGAAATTTTTACACGTCTTTTGCTACATCAGTGAATACAACTTTATAGAGACCAGCCAGTCTTCTGGCGGAATTTTTTGCAGTGCCCTTAGAGTTGATTGGTGCATTTTTCAGTTTTATTTATCGGATTTTTCTCACTTGTTTTCCTCGATGTGAATGAGCTCAATTTCTACTGTTGCAATTCAAAAATTTCATTCCTTTCGCTTCGTCATTAAAATAATTGGCGACATTCGGATCTTAATCCAATAATTAGCGAGAGCTATCATTCTAAATTTTTTTCCATTTACCCGACGGAAACATATGAAGAGAAAACAGGAAATAGGAACAGAAATAGGAAACAGAGGTCAGAAATCAGATTTAAAGAAGGGTCTTTAGCTCCATTACCTTAATGGAGGCTTCGACGTTATACAACATAGAGACCGTAGTCTGTCCTGGGGTTGATGAACTCTTTGCAAGGGCATTGGAATTCATGTGAGGTGGCATCCAACCACCCTTTCAGAGGTAATGGAGCCAAAAACAGGAATTGAAAATCCTGTGAACATTCTAAGAAACAAACTGGCTGCTGACACACAACGAGTGTGCCGCCGTAATCGACAGCAAACAAAAAATAAATAAATAAAATACTGGCCTCTTTAAAATGACATAATTTCTCATTGATTGTCAGAGTTTTTTCGCTCGAAATGTTTATCCAAGTTCTCCATTAACAACTTCCATCCAGTTGTTTCCTGTAACTCTTCTATGCTGATTCCGTCATCTTCTTCACTGAAGTCTGATTCCTTCCGATAAAAGAAAGAATGCTAATGAACTAATTAATGAACTTATTAATTAGAACATGCACAGTGTTTAAATAAATCTATTTTTCCTCACAGAAGCCTATAAACATCTATACAAAGCCGGAAGTCATAATATTTTAGAAGCGCGTAAGCTTTTTCTATAGCGCTCAAAAGACCTGAAAACTCTATGATGAATAACTTTACATTTAGGATCGGACATAACATTTTTGTTTTACTTTACACGAGTACATAAACAATTTTAATTTGAGATGCACAGCTGGAAACAAACAGAAATATTAAAGTTAAAGTCTTGGCCTTTCACATGCGCAGCAATGGTACAAAAAATAACCTTGCGAAAATAGGTTTGATACAAGATTTCAAGAGTACATTTGCAACTCAATCGAAATGGAAAATTCGATGATCTCTATATATTAAATCGATAATAGTTAGCTGAATTTTGGCTAGAACTTTAACAAAAAATAAGCCAAAGTTGTATTAAATCTTACAAGAGAAAGGCGCAAATTACATTCTCCGAGACTATTTTGAAAGTAAAACTCTTGTATCAAACGTTTTAAAGACTTTTTCCTGAAACTCACCTCGTCATGATGGTCAACGGTAGCAAATGCTTCATCTCGTTTCTTTCTTTTCCCATAATTTTCTGGCTGTTCACCCTCAGAATAGAATGAAAATTAAATACTAAACATGGCGAATCAGCTAGACAACTGTAATCAAAATAATCATGTAACAGCTGCTTTCAGAGGATTAATTTTATAGAAAAATATTTTAAAAGATATTAATACATTTCATTATTTACTTATTATTATTATTCATTTATCGTTATTATTGATCATTTATTTATTTAATTATTTATCATTTTTTTATCATTTATTCATTTACTTATTTGTTTAGAGATATTTAACACTGAGTTTATGATCTGAGCCTGAATTCAGACCTGAATTCGAGGTAACAAACATTGTCGACAGTCTTACCTGGGAAAGCAATTCATTTCCTGGTAAGGAAAAAGATGGGGACGATGAATGGTTTGAATTTAAGCTGCAACCAGCTTCTTCCTGCGCTTCTCCGTTACATTTTGTATCCACTGGAAGGTTTATAGATCTATCCTGAAATAAGTGTTAAACGTTACGGTAGGCCTAACTGCACGATCAAAAGCTTTGTCGCTCTAAGTTCATTGCTCATTGCGGTGTATTGTTTCACTGGGCGAAAAGGTTGTGCGGCTGTACCGTGGTAGGTGGATTTAAACCTTCATGGAATCACCCTCAAAGACTATGTAATATACATCTTGTGCCTATTTGTCGCCACCGTTTACTGGCATAAATCACAACAATTTGTAAAAAAAATCTAGCATAATACTCTTACCTCGTTTATTTACGATTTTATGAGCTGTTTCGATGACCAAGTTATGCTCTACCACATTTTAGCCAGATTTAATTTGCAGTTTATAAAAGTTCTCCACATTATTACATCAGTTGCATGACAAGTGTGACACATAAATTCAAAGATGAATCAACCTCCGAATTACCAAGAGATGGGGTTTTTTTTCCTCTTTGCATATCTTTAAAAACCTTCCAAGAATTACTGTATTCAGAAAACTAAAATGTCCAGATTCATCAATGATTCCTTGCCGGCGGAAGTCAAAGAATGTTCACAAAAGTCAATTCGATTGACAAGCTACATACTGATTTAGCTAATTAATTTGTTGTATAAGCGTTTCATCTAACATGCTAACAAGGAGATTTGCTGACAAAACTTTTTTCTCTTCACCGAAAATCACATCAAAATTTGTCCTTGCTAAATTTCAAGTGTGCTGCACTTATCAGCACCCCCCGAGGAACCCCTATACATAAGTGGGCGAGGATGCGCGCTGAGAATTTCGAAAATGACCTCTATAAAATTATAAAAGGTACCTGAGTCTTATCCGTGTGGGAGTGGCTACAACTGATGTCTACCTCTAAAAAGTACCAATTTAAACAAAAAAAAATGAAAAATCCTAAAAATATAAACTCCTTTATCGATATGCTCCAGAGGCTCAAGTCAGATCATTAAAATCGTCCTAGTAATGCTTATATCAGGTATTTTATTGAGCGAAAAACATCCTAAAAGGTACCAGCTAGGTCTCTGGTGGTCCACTAAAAGTTTTGAGACATCGTAAAAGGTACCAGATCACTGATTTTGACCCCTGAAAAGTACGACAAGCATCCTCACTCATAACCGATCGCCTGATGACTCGTTTCGAATTTTATTCTGCTATCATGTGGCGACCGGGATGAACTCGTTCTTGAATAAAACTCATTCCGATATTATGTAAAAGGCCCCCAAGAGTTTTTATTCCCAGAGCATCACGCTTTGCTCTCCCGCCAGAACACTATAAATTTCAATATGCGCTGCTACTGAAACAACGATTACCGTATTTCTTCACCTATAAGCCGAGCGATTTTTCAGTATTTGACACAAAAGTTTGGGAGATTTTTTCACAGGAAACGGGCTTCAGCTTATAGCCGAGGGTTTGGAATTCAAAACCAAGTACATATTTAGTGTTAATGCGAAATAACCGTAAATTCCGTGACTGCAGTGCTCTTTACGTGACATGCTTTAAAATTGACATGACGACAACGTATTTCTGACCACCAATCAGATTCTTTGCTTCCCACGCATTGAAAGACGATTTCACTCAACCCGGCAAAAACTCTTCTCATTTCACATTACAAGTGAAATATTTGGTCTCTCTGCTGTGATAACTACTCCATCGCTTGCTCGTCTAGTTCGGGACACTGAAATGGAGTGAAACGGCTCGTTTTTGTACCTCTTGCAGACATCTTAAGCTTGCCAGAAGTAATAGTCGCCTGGTCTCGTCTCCGGCGTCGCACCATGGACTCGCTAAGTCCATAATCTCAAGCGATTTCCGAGCTGTTTTCGACAGCATCAGCCTCCGCGACAACTTTTATCCTGAAATCCATAGTATACGAAGAGCGGCGTGCTTTTGGCATGATGAGAAAAATAACAGTGACGATAGAGATACTCAGGTTACAGCAACTGAGAGTATTGTTGTGTTTCTACAGTTGCGTAGTAGTATTTACATCTTCACTGATTCGCTTTTTTTTCTTTTGTAGAAAGTAACATATTGTAATATTGTCAATTCAACATAAACAAAAATCTTCATAAAGGGTAAATATTCATTTGTGTTGGTATCAATTATTGCGTGACTAGCTTATGATATACATGGGGTAGGGGAAAACACAACGTAAAACCTGGGCCCCTGGCAAAAAGTAATACCCAAGCGTAATCTAATAACCGAAACAGCTTACTGGTATTATAAAATCATAAATAAACAGGGTAAGAGTATTAGTTTTTCTTACAAATTGTAGTGATTTATGCCAATAAACGGTGGCGACAGGTAGGCAGACCATATATATATTTTATAGTCGCTAGCAAATAAATTTTGCCGGACTTTGAGTTCGTCTCACGATAGAACAACACAAATACACAAGGAAATTTTTACAGTAACTTTATAACCATCCTTTTTTCTTTTAAAAGCTAGAAGCTCAGTAGATTCTGTCATATCGGTCATTGTTAAAACAGTCTTTGTTTTGATGCTACTTTTCGACATAGAAAAAGTATGTCGGACAAAAATATTCACCAAAAAATAAATATTTCTTTTCCAGCTTCAATAATGACAGGGGATTAAGTTTAGATGATAAAACAAAGGATTATGTTGACAAAAATACCGGAGGTCAAGTAAATTCGTTATATGAGGTCACACAACTCGGGTAATATTTACGACGAAAATTTGCATATTTTAGCGCTCGAACGAAAAAAATCATTTCTCGAAAACTAAAATATATTTTCACAAAAAAACTACACCACAATTATTAAGACATATTGGGCTACAAAATATGAATGTAGGAGAGAAAACGAATTTTGGGGACTTACTGCTGTTTGTCTGATGCATGTTGACATTACCTCTTAAAATTTTTGCCTTTATTGGTTTTTAATGTTTTTGCATATTAAAGCCTAAGGGGTTAAATTTAATTCCTTTTTGCACAAATATACCAGGGTTCTGTCTTAAATGGTCCAATCCATACCTTGTACCATAGTGGTTAGGGTGTGCAGTAATCGACGAAATTATTTAATAAAAACATAAGGCTGTGTTGCACTTAAGAAAAAAGAAACTCACAATGACTAGTATTTTTGTCCTTAAACGATAAGAATATTCGCTCTCAAATTCTTTCAATGTGTGTAGTGGATTCGTGCTTTGCCCTCATCAACTATCACGAAATAGAGATCTCGGGCTCGTTATCTATTTGTTAAGTAATTGCAAGGATCTTTCGAGTTAACTATGGATGAGGAACTTGTATGTACACTTAGCGATTGGTTGATGATGTTCGAAAATTGTCGCGGCTTTTTCGTCTCCATGATCATGGTGGACAAGGCTCTACTTCCATTCGTTTTTATGAAATTTCCATCTCAATTTTCTCAGTTTAAGAGCGACGAAGAGAAATTCCCATAATCCTACAAAATCCACCACGAACCCTTATATCTTCCAGACTGTGAACAAATACTTTCCTGTTATCGATCCAAAATTACATGATGACAACGGGAAAAACACTTCTACTCCTGTTGCACTTTGTGATCATTATAAAGTCGATCAAAGTATTTATTTGTATATTCACATCAATGAGTTAGCTTTACATCTATCTCTACATCATTCTAATAGTTATCCAGGTCTATTTTGAATGAAAGCAGAGTAAAGAAACTCACCGATATAGAGCCAGCTTTTACCTGTTTACTGAATGCAGAGGATTTCAATCTTTTCCTTGACTCGTATGGTTTGTTTTCCTGAACATCCTCCTTAGTCATCTTAAGTTCCCTTCGGGAAGAAGGAAGATAGTCTAACTTGCAAGCAGCCGCCATATTTTATCATCGAAAGGTTTTCTTTGTCTAGAGAGTAATTCGGAATCGCTCTGTCGCTGCTTCACTTCGATCTGTGGTAGGTCAAAAAAACCTGTACCCTTTTCTCAACCCATCAGATTCAAACAAACACTAATCTCAAAGTTTTCCTGTTTTTATCTTCAGTTCTCAATGGCTCCCTATGATATTTTTCTTGATTATTCTTTTCTTTTCTAGATTTTCTTAATTTGATCGATCGCCTCAACAAAGAAATTACTTTTATGAATGATAAAAATAAATCTATTTACGTACATCTGCTGTATGTCAGCCAATTAATATCTCAGTGGGATACAAAGTAATGTATTACAACGTGATTAAAATAACAGTTTTCTCCTGATTTACCATGACGCATTTCTGGCATTTGTTTCATTACTGTTGTTTCACGAAGTCTTGGGGTGAAGAAATCAATTATTTAAAACATAGCTCAAATATTTTGGAAAACCATAGGAGTTTTTAACCAATAAGAAATACTGTATTCTTTGCGACGTTATCACCTACATGAATTGTTGCGAAGTTTACAAAACAAATAAAAGAAAGCTTTTTCTGGTCCTCCAAATTGTTTATCTTTTTTTTCGTATTTACAGCTGTCGGTTCGCACGCCTCAAACGATGGCATACATTAAAATCAGAATCGCTTTCGTCTCAACTGCGACTGAGATACATAACGATGCACAACGATACACAACCTTCAAATTTACAGTACTGATACAGTTAAGGTACATTTTATCTCTCTCCTCTTCATTGAGTCGTTATGGCTGAACAGACGCCGGAGGAAAAGTATATACAGGCAATTTCAAAAAGAACTAAAATATTGAAGAATGGAATGTGCAGATATGTGTCTAAAGTGTGTGAAGTACTAAAGTTACTGCAAAAGAAATGCAAGGAAAGGGAAAGTGGTTCGTTGCCAGACGCTTTGAAAAATTCACTGAGAGAGCATTTTAGAGACATTTTTTGGAGCTTAAAACTTCACTTGTTGTTTCATGGTGCGCCGGACGCTGATTTGAAGAAGATGGGTGTTTGGGAATTAGTCTCTTTGTCAGCCGATGAAATGAAAACAAAACCAGACGAAAAAAGTGTCATTGATCCAGGAAGTAAAATCTTGGAAATCGTAAGTAGGCACTTCCGTATGCTGTCCAACATTTATACTGAGCAAGTATATCTCGGAGAAGAGGTCGTTTACCTTCATAGTTAGACCGAAACGCCACCATATTTAAACACAGTATCACCGCACGAAAAGTTTTACGAAACACCGACATCAAATCAAAGGGCACCTATGGCCAACTCGTAGAAGAAGTATTAGAGAGATAGATACTTTTAAAGTTGCTATCAGTAAGCTAAGATGTTAAAAAAAGATAGGAAGTAGAACCAAACACCGAATGCAAATATGGCAGACCACTTGGGCAGACCAGGCCGAGCTGCGCGAAGTCGAGGCTAGTTAGGCCCCGATGTGTTTTGTTTTGACAACGCGTCAGTAGAAACTTGCAAACACTGAGCGTATTGATAGTCATTTTCGCGATGCCCACTCATTGCTGTATCCCTGAATGTAACCAAAAAGGTGTAAAATCGCCAACGAGAGAGAAAGTATCTTTTTTTGAATTTCCAAATTATCCTTTACCAAGGAAGAGGTGGATTCACGCGATCCGACGAGACGAAGGAAAGAACTGGCAGATCACTCGAGACAGGAAGGTTTGCTATTTGCATTTTAGACGAGATCTCAGAAAGTCGCTCGCTGTATAGTCACGGATAGCTGGTAACTGGCAAAGGATCCTTGAGGACTTTTTCCAAATTTTGTCAGGACAAGTGTAGTTGACTCAGTTCTTGCAGTCATAATGTGTGATAAAGCCATTTTAGGGTTAAGCTCTCTTAACCGTTCCAATGATTTTGATTCAGATGCCTGCTGACCCTTAAGGCTATTTCGGGCCTCATACAAAAGACATTTCAGACCAGAGCCTCTGGATGATGATTGTTTGTCTAACTCTAAGCTTGTTTTGGTCACCAACACTTCCATCACTGGTTGTGGATTTATACAGTCTTCTCTTCCCTTGCGATGCCACTGCTGCAGAGTTGATGTGCAGATCCGTTTTGGCTGCATGTTGTCTTCGTTTTCAAGGTCGGTCACACTTTCACACTCATATAATGAAAACTTGCATAATTTTAACAAAAGAGCCAAAAAATGGTTGCAAAACCCGACCTGGCAAGCAACACAAGAGCAAGAGGCATTCTTGACCTCTCCACGAAAAATTCATACTGCAACTTTTAAGTTGTGGGAAGATGATTTTTTTCTAAAGTTGTGATGGCACTGACAGCGCAAATAGAAATAAGTATTATCGCTCGCTGCTGACAAGTTCTTAAATATTCGTCGTTCAAAAACGTTGTAGCTTTTCGCACACTAGTCGGTACTAAGTGACTTTTGCTTGAATCAATGTTATTCCCTGACTTTGCGATATGATTGCTCATCTCGGCACGCGTGAAAAAAGGCATTCGTTTTATATTGCCAGACTTGCCATCCGAAGGGTAGTTTGGTTGTGGTGCATTAACAGCAGCTGAAATGTTGTGTTCACTCGCCCTTCGGTGTTGTTTGCATTTCAGGATCAACTATATTTTGGTCTTGGCCAGTTCTGATATACTCTTCGACCCTTTAAAAGCGAAAAGAAAGCTACTTTAAGCTCGTAAAATCTGATTTTTCACATGTATTGGTGTGATATTTTGACAAGTCATAGCGAAACACGAAGCGATCTTGCGCCTTACCTCTTCATTAACGCTGTCTTTGTTTTCAACCCCTTCAATGAATCGCTTCTAAATTTGAGCGAAAAACGAAGTTTCAAAACTACGAGAAATTGCGAAAAACGAAGTTTTTCGCATTTTAATGCCTGGGTCTCTCTTCCAAGGAGAAAAGCTCCCGGGATATCGTCCTGGGTTGGCACACGTGCAGCCATTCGTGACAACCAAAACAACTCGGCGCAACTCGGCAACTCGGCCCGGTCCGCCCGAATGGTCCGCCATATCTGCATTCAGTGTATTGCAAGTATAGAAATTATAGTACTTGAGTATGTGATGGAAACCCCCACTTTAGCCTATGATGTGGCCAGTTATGGACCCCATCTTTGTCCGGTTTTGGGCAAGACTGGAATGGAATGGGAGCCGTTTATTAAGATCAAAACACAGTAATAACTTTTTTTTTATCCAGCGGCACATTGTTAGCCTATCTCTAGGAATTTTAACCCTTTCCCCCCCCCCTCCCCACTTCCCCCTTCTTGGAATCAGTATTTTTAAAAGTGGTAGAAATGGCAAAGAGTGATGAAGCAAAACGTGGCACATAATCACTCCAGGTTGACAATAACCATTCTACCTTGCACTGCTTATACCGTGATTGCAGCATTCCCACGTGTATAAAGTTCTTGTAACTTATAGGAAACACACGCATGTTAAACCAAAAAATCCTGCGTGTAGCAGAAGAGGCCGATTACTCGCAATTTCTCGTAGTTTTGAATTTCCCTTTTGCTTTTCATTACACACATATGTTTGTATTTTTTTAACACGGATGCGATAGAAATTAATCGGAAAAGCATTCCTTGAAATAGGAAGTCGTCGTGTGTTTTGAGCTAAAAAGATCGTCAAGTGATCAAAACAACACCGGCCAGATTATGGTCACGTGCTCGGCAACGACTTGTAGAAACCGACCATATTTTACTCTTACCATCAAAACAGTCACATTTGCATTGCATGGAAAAAAACAAAACGAAACGACCATAAGAAAAAGACGGAAATTGGCGTAGCTGGCGAAACGTTCGAAAAAAAAACCCTGATACGAAAAAAAATAATTCTGTAAATTAACATTTTTTTATGTCATGGGTACATGTTTCCGTGGGAATTTCCATGTCAACAGCCCTCTCTGTCTGTCAAACTCTTCGTGATTCTTGCTGCTCCTCGTTATGTTTAGCGCATGGACGATTCGAAGACCCTTCAAATTTGGTCTTAAGTTGATCATAGCACTAATCTGAGACATTCGAAGTCCATGAGTAAATGTCAAACAGCCGTGTAAAGACAATAAACGATCGATGCAATCACAATGGCGCCAGGACTTCGGACTTCTCCGAAAGGATAGATCTCGAGTTCGGGGCCGACTAATTACGATAAATTACGAAGAGTCCACGCTAATTTGGATATTCAAAAGTTCCCACAACAACTCGTTTCTACGCTATCGCGTATCCACGAGTTAAAAATGTTTATGCTAGATTTAGACAAGGAGCTAAACACCTCACAACTCCATACAACCTTCTTGTAGGTACTGTGGATAGAGTCGATTCTCTAGGTCTAGTCGTTTGTTCCTCTATCACTGAATTTGTTGTTTTTCAAGTTTTCTATAAGAAAAAATCCGTCTTTCATATCATATTAGATATATTATCGAATTTCTGCCAAGAATATTAGCTACTTTTAGTTCTGACAAGAACGACAAGGTCAACGATTATTTAGCAAGGGTCCACTGAACAAGAAACACGACAGTTAAAATAATTTATTTTCGCCGTACATTAATAATTTTACAAAACAAGTACATTCCACTGCAGGATCTGAGAGCACTGCAATACCGCATTGTGGAATTTAATTCACCGTTATAACGCATTAAATAATGATCGACATCACAACACTGAAAATCCTGTGTTTTGAGCTTCCGTTGCCACATATTCTGTTTCGAGTTTAGAAGGGTAAAGTTGAGTAAATTAACTACTGAGAGGTTCCATAGTGAACGACGTTTCGAGTTGTCGAGAATTAACACTACACTTTTTAACAGCAATGACCAAGGCCTCAATTGAAGGTCACATTATAGGATGTTAAGTACAAACTATACAGCAGTCGTTACCTTACTCAGAATCACTAAGTTTTTAAAGCTCTCGCAGTGATAAGGAAATTTTTCAATAAATATGGTTCTTACCTTTTTTTAGCCGGTTGAGGTCCCCCAAAAGTATAACAGGCAGGCTAACTTTAGCCTACGATGGACTGAATTTTATTTATCTTTCAGGTAAGCGACATAACTCAGAGAGAGGGTGTCCCAAAAGGCAGTACAGAGCATGCCCGAAAGGTAGAGGAACAAGCAAGAAGTCTTTTAAGCTCTCTCCCTAAAGTATTTAGACCGAAGGTTTTAGCAGTAGTTTCACATAATGGCGAGAGCTTTGTTGGCGCGTCGATTGCAGTAAGTGATTTCTTACGCCCTCTCTATTTGCACAAAAGAATTGCTGATTTCAGAAAACCTAGCCTCAGAGAAGCAATCATATTTCATCAGCCATTAGAAACAGCAGATACGCAGGACTGGAGATCGGAAGCATCAAAGATCTATGGCACCCACACACCCCGTGACACCGCCAAACCTGCATGTGGAAATTGCCGACGCACTTTCAGAAACTTAGAAGGCTTTGTACGAGAGAATGAGCAAGGAGATGATAACAATACAACAATCCTCGGCGCATGTGCAGAATACTGTCCTGTTAACAAACTTCTTCACGATGAAACAAATGATGGTTCAGAAATAGGTCCTCGTCTTCATATGAATTTGGGGCGATGCTTAGAACTCTTTCAGAAATTTGATGCAATTGGTAAACAGTGCCAAGAAGCTGTTAGTTCTGAAAATAAAAGAATCCAAAAAAAGGTGTACAAACAAGTACATCCTATACTTGACATTTTTGGCCGATCACCAGAATTCAATAACAAGTTCTAGGAATTGGCTTTAATACTGATGATCAGTTGATACGCCACCTATACAGTGTACTTGTTCATAAAAAGCAATCGCCATCTCTAACACAGTACAGGAGAATACAAACAGTAGACTAGGCTTTAGTTTTCGATGGTTCCAAGAAAAACTTGTAATTGGTTGTATATATACACGCTCTGCATGCAATTGCGAATTCTTTATATGTCATACCTAAAACTCAATCTGTCGCCCCTTCACTTATGACATATTCCAGGCTAGTAAAGGGTGGAGATGGACTGGAAAATATTTTAAAACGGTCTCATTTTAGTCAGCCGGTGGAATTTCCAAATCGATATCACTTGATTCACGCACCATTCTTAGAAAGACGTTTCACTGCCTTTAAATGGACTTTCAGGAAATATGGTAAATTTGCCTTTTTAAAAATTGAATCGAACAAGGCCAGGAATAAAATAAATCAAGGCTAGCATCGAAAACCTACAGGGCCGGTTATTTACTCAAGATCCAACCCATACCACGGTTTTGCGCAATCAGTGAGCCCCAGACTCTCTTTATAAGAGAGTTGCTTTAATTAAATAATCGTCCTTCCACTGTTAGCTTTCAGCCCTTCTGACATTGTTTGCAAAAATAAATGTTCAGATAAAAGGTTCAGCTAAATTTAGGATTTTTTAGGGCATGACTCTGTCACTTTAGCCAATATCTAGAATATAGGACATTACAGCTGGTTGAGAATAGTAAGAAAACCCCATAAAACTATACATCACATTATCATTGTTATTCAGATCATATGTTAATCTGAAGTAATACATCTCTTATTCTTCAAAATAAAAGCTGTCTTAAAACTCCCTTCAAATTATCCATTCTGAAGAATTCCCTCCTTGGTAAAGGAGTAAGAAAACTGAAAGTATGTAATATCAATAAACTAACCCAGCTACATGTATCCTTTTGAAGTTTATGAACAAACAAACCTGTGGAACGTCAACATTTGCACGTATTTTTCGCACTTTTATTTTGAGCTTAGTATGTGGTTTGTGACCGCATACAGCTTTGGACGTGACTCTGTACATTCCTTATGCACCTGATGTGGGTATCGCAGTACGACAATAGCAATGTTTCAAAACCTTCACCCCTATCTCTGGCTGAAAAGCTTCCTAAGAAAACCTGGGCAGATGAGTAATTCTTGTCATCAGGAGGAGCGGTAAAGCAATTGGGGGCAGACCCCCAATCAAAAAAACTTGTCTTAAACACCGTTTGATCGGGGAAGGAAAAAGGGAGGGTTAACAAATAGTTGAATAACCTACACCACACCCTCTAACACGTCTGTGGGACGACCTTAATCAAAAGAGCCTCTTTCAATTAATGCGTATGTGAAGCTGTGCATAAATGGGCAATAACAGAAAAACATTTTCTGGAAAATCGTACCATTGTTAAGCCATGTAAGTTGTTACCTCGTCCTTAGCAGAATGGATAAATGAAAAACAGGCATCTTTTTCAACACCATAATCCAAAAATTTCAGCTTGTTTCCATTTAGTTTTAAATGGTTTTGCTTGCAGTTAGTTATACATCAATTCGCTTTTGGTTAATGCACTATAGCATTTTGGCAGCTAGCTTTTCTTTCTAATTACGTACATATGAGACCCGGTCTCACCTTGGTAAACAAATCTTGGGAGTATTCCTTCTCGTAGTCACAAACCAGTCTCCCGGCATCCTTTAACTCTCTTATCAACAGCAGATCATCCACAACTCTTCCTATTTTCCCTTTCCTTCGTAAGCTTAAATAACCAACGATGGTCAAATGTTGGCAAACAGCCAAAAAGGTGAAATAATGTTGGTACAGCAGGGAAATTTAGACTGTCTCACCTGGATATGTTAAACAACCGTAAACGCACACCGAAACTCGTCATACCAAGTTACAAGCCATGCTCAACACCCATTTCAAATCCATTACCGCTTAAGCGTTCCTTTGATTTCTTTAACTAAGATGGTATCTAACGAGACCTATAACTTCACTTTTCCTAGAAATTCACAAAGAACTGTAGCCGATACACCATTGTAATTTACTTTTTCCCATTGAACTTCGTTCTTCGCTATCACATCTTCTTTCATGTGACCTAAAGAAAATCTGTTCCCTCACTTTTCTGAGTTTCGCCTGCCCACTCCTGCATAGTAGTAATTGCCTGACCAAATAATTACGAAGTGCACCATACGATTCAGGTCATCAGCCTCTTTCCATCCATTAAATAATTCAGTGAAATGCGACTGACACAACGAAGACCTGTGATGTGGAAAAACTTCGTCTTTTGACTCATGAAAGTTGATAATAATTCCGCATCATCGTAGCATAACACGCATAGAATAATCAACGCTCACAAGAATGTTTCACTCGTTATTCCCACAATGCTTTCTTCCTTCAAGATCGTGTTTCTGGTAAAATTCCATAACAGTTTTGCAGAATTTTCGACTTCGTGATGCACATGTTAGGTCCTGCTGGCGACAAACTTAAGTTTATGGCCCGATGGGAAGAAGAGTTTTATTTCTGGTATGCCTGTCGGTTTTCACTATTGATCGCGTTCATCCTATATGCTATTTGATTATCACATCATCATATATGTTGGGAAATGTGTTGCTAGGTATTTACGTTCAGTGGGAAACTGGTCAGCTTTACTTCTCATAACTAGGAATTTGGTTCCGGTAAGTTTAACGAAATATTTAGTCATTTTCAAAACAAGAACTTCACAATCACGGAGAACGTTTGTGCATGTCTAATGTACAAAGGAATGTGATACAATTATGCGAAAACGGTCCTTTAATGAGTGTGTTTTCTGGTATTTTTTTTCTTTTTCTTTCCTTTCTGGTATTTTTTTTTTCTTTTTCTTTCCTTTTTTTTTAATTACCGACATTTTTACACGAGCTACAGTAAAAAAAAACCACAAACAGTTCCTTCCTAAAACATTCATAAAAATACTTAAATATTTCTTACAGCATTCACAAAAATACTTAAATATTTCTTACAGCATTCATAAAAATACTTTTGACAAAGGCAACGAATGCCTTTAAATATCTAACTCTCGTCCTGTATTCTACAAGCTTCGCTGCAACAAATAAATAGTTCAAAGAAGGGCGCCCAGTGTCTTTCGGCAATAAATTACTCTTTAGTCGAGTTAGCCTTTACGTGTGCATCCAAAGCTTCAACAAATAACCTATATCCATCCGTTTGCTTCAATTCATCCACACTGATCCCTTCTCCTTCATCACTGGAGTCTGAATCCTGACAAACATAACGCAATTTATTATAGAAAAATATAATTCAAAGCAGCAATGTTGGATCAATGTCTTTTCTCGCGACTGAGAACGAAAATCGACTCCTGGAAGATTTACCATAGGCCGATTTTCGCCGTGTACCTGAAGGATTTCTATCGGTAAGGAACAATTCAATAACTGAAAATTTTGTATATTGAAAATTATGCCCATTGTCTTTTTAGTGATTCGACGCATGTTTTCATTTTGAGTGCGCTAACGCACTTTACGATTTTTATTGGGGGATTGTCGATCCTTTTATTTCCATTTATTAATAAATTCGACTTTTCTTGTCAGTAAAGGGCTATTGTGCTTATATGGTAAACAAAATAATACATGGTTACTTGTAGATATGAAATTTTTCTTCTTGTGTTCAACTCGACATCTCACTCGTGAGCTATGGAGTTAAACACTCGAAGAGAATTTCCATATCTACGAGCGCCCATGTATTATTCTCTATAAATCCTTCTCCTGCTTCAATTCCTTCAAACTGATTCCTTCTTTTTCATCACTGAAGTCTGAATACTGACGAACACGATATAATGTCTTGGGAGTATCTACAGTACTTAGCTAAAGAGAGTGCTTTTATCCTGGGAGATTCCATTCATACACTCTGCAAGCTTAACGTGCTCAGACTTTTCCCGAGCCAAGGTGGCAGCCGGAAGCTGCTCTCCCCGCTTAATCTAGTACGTCATCGCATAAAGTTTCCGCTCTGTTACCCTAAATCCAGATAATGCATAGCTTAATGTCATGCCTAATTTTAGTATCTATAATAACGGTATTATTTAATTAAGCGGTATCAACTCCTTTACCTCGGCATAACTATGAAACTGACTTCGATCGATCAACCATGACCATAAATCATGAAATACAAGAGCAGTTCATTTTTTTTTATTGATGTATTTTCAGCAAAGTTTGTTTGGAAAATGCTCGGGTGTCTCCCAATTCTCTGAATAGGTAATTCTATACGCTACTTGTTACCGACAAACTTGGGCTTACGTTTTCCTAGTATTTAAGAATTTACCAGATTGTTTTTTTGGAAGCTTTAATTTCGAGGGAAGGAAAAACGGAAATCCCATGTTCCACTCTACATTCTATTCAAACATTCATCATTGACCACTTGGGAACGACATAATGTTTTTTATCACGTATATGTAATGCACTTTCCCTTTCAACCCCAACACTAATACTAAGAATATAAACTTCGTACAATACTACGATCCAGTTTACTTCCTCTTACCTTTGTTAGATCTTCTTCTTGCATAGAACACAAATCTTCATTTGTTGATGGCTGAGGTGACGAATGAACTATAAGATAGTTAAAAAGTAATCACAAAGCAGTTAAATATTGTCAAAGTGTGAATTGAATAGAACAAAATTTACTTGACATATTAGAATTTAGTAATTTAATATAGAATGTAAAACATAATAATTTGGTTCATTTACTATTTTTTTCTTAATCAGCAAAGCAAAGGTAAGGGGATAAATTGTTTCTTTTTTTTTTTTAATTTGGTCACCAGGCTGGAAAAAAAGAAAGGAACCTACCATTCAATCAATAGAAAACAGTTATCATCTAACATTCCTTTTTTATGTTCAGGTGTCTGACTGTGTGCCAGAGAAAAGATTGAAAATGTACAGGGTAAAACATAGATTGGGTGATAATTAGTAAAACCTCACAATAATTCTAAAAAGATAAGGCCTTAAAGTTGTAATAGCAGTTATAGTACCTAGTTTTCATCGAAGATATTGGAAATTTGTCTTTATCTTTGTCAATTGTTTGAAACCTTTGTGGTTTTTTTCAATGTACCAGTAAGTTGTTTACTTAAACTAAGTAAAGTTTATTTTAAAATTTTCATTAAAAGCATCACTAAACATCATGAGAGTCTTCTATACCTTGGTGATGATTTCCATTCAAACATGAGTGCTCCTCTCTTCCCTGACATTCTCCTTCGGTAGGAGTACCAGTAGTAAGAGGAGACTGAACATCCCTAGGGCTGACAAAGAGAAAACAACACAGTTCACAATATATTGTTTGAGAAAACTTGTTTGTTTGAATTGAAGTTTGGATTGCTTTTCATGATTGTGGGTTTGTAAAGGATAGAAAAGACTCATCCTGTGATGTACATGTACATGAACACACTAAGGAAACATTACTTCTATATCAGAAGATAACACACTTCTCAAAATAACTATTTACCTGCAACACTTCTAAATTCATCAAATAGAGTCAGACTCAGTGTTAAGGTTTCACTTTAAGATCAATAATAAAATAATAACTAATGATGATTAAGATGATATAAATAAGGCACTATAGTTTCCCTGAAATATCTTTAGGATCAAAAGCATTTTAGTACATTATTTTTTTAAAAACAGTACATTCACTTTCAATTAATTTCACATGAATATTTGGAAGTTAAACAGTATCAAGAGTTATTTCTTTTAAAAAAAATACACTGAATTGATGAAAAAACATCTACAAAACTCCATTATAAGTTTTCATGGCCATTAATGGTCCAAGCAATAAAGCAAACAACCATCACATGCTAATAAAATATGACTCAATAGGTTAGAATTGTGAAAACTAGACAGCACAGTACAATGAACTTTAAAAGGAACTACAGGGTTTTTGTTGCTCATTTTTCAAGTTCAGTTATTTTTCAAAATTGTGGATGCCCACATTAATAAATGCAAAACATTTTGTGTGGAAGGCAAGAACTTTGGTACCAATCAGCATTTCTGGAAGCATCTCTTTTCCTGCTATTTTTACAACCCTTTGATATATTTTTATTGGGAAAAAATTTCTAGGTGTGGCATTTAACAGAATTTCTCCTTACACTATCAGTATGATATCAAGCAGGCAAGTAATAGGAATAAACTAAAAATATCAATTGGGGGATTATTGGTTTAAATCCAATGCCAAATTCTCCAAACTAACATCACATAAATTGTATGGCAGACAGTAAGGAGAATTATTTATGAAATCTTGGGAGTTAAAGGGTCAGTAAAGTTTTAAAAAAGAAAAAAGTAACTCAGGTTCCTTTCTTGTTCCATTTCCTTATAGTAAAATGTCAATCCAGAACAGTTATGTCCAGTACGCTAGGGTGCCACAAAACTAAGCTACTTAAACTTCTGTGATGAACAGATCTTAGAGGAAAAAATCAATCAATGTGATGATAGATGGTATTGGTACAGTAAATGTTTTGAATAATTGGGGGTAACATTTGATAACATGGGGGTAGCTCAGTGAGAAGAACAGTTAAAGGTAGTGGCAAAATATCAGTGAGCACTACTAACAACAGTCCTTCTTAGGATTACACTCACCGTGACAAACAGTCCATAGGATCGCATAGAAAAAAATAACTTCAGTATGCTTCAAAAAGGTAAAGTTTACAAGTTTCAGACAAAACAACTTACCTATTTGAAACTTGATCAGTAACACTATCATTTAATCCTCTATATGCAAGGGGAACCTTTAAAAAACAAACAATTAAAAATCAAATAGTTGAGTAAAAGGTAAAGTGTTCACATGAAGCACCTCTTCCTTGCAAAGTTTAAATGTACCTCATATTACACAACTTGAGTTGTATTCATTTTACAAGCAGTGTGAATTCCCCCTTTCCACATTTCCATTTAATTTAATAGCTTTGTTTTGCTGGCACCCTCAAAAGACAACTAACAATCATCATAGGCATATTCTGGCATCAAAAGAAGTTTACTTCAACCTAAAAAATTAAATAATGCTCATCTTTTATAATCCATATCATGAGTAAAGCCGGGTGCCTAAGGGGGGGGGGGGAGGGAGGGGGGGGAGAAGCACACTCTTCAATAATTGGCCCAAAAGGGTATGTAATAAAGTAGTAAGTCCAATGACGGTATTAATTCCTGTAGTCTTCGAATAGTTTCTCTCACCTCAGAGTACTCGATGTGAACAGTTTCCTCTGGTGCAGATCGTGAAGAAGTTGCCGTGAAGTTGGATGCTGTTGCTCGATCTTCCTTTGCATTTTCCATCTGAAAGTGGCAAAGTATGAATGGTATTGTTGCTAAAGTAACGTCATGAATGCCATTTCTATCCCTGTAATATGTTTTAAATAACGATAAACCATGCAAGAATTTTTAACTCCTCATCATCTGACCCTGGTCTGCGATCGTGTTACTGCTTTCTTTCAGAGTCTTCAGAAACAACGCTCACGTCTCGAGAAAAAGCCAACGATTAATTCATGAACGCGTCACGTTGTGTGACTCGGTGTTAAGCTACGAGAGGAACCGTTGAAAATTTGAACACATTATAACGAATAGTATGGGGAACGAAATATGGTCGATTTACAACGATAAATATTTCGAAATATGAATAATTTACACGTAAAATCATTAACACTTACTCACATCCTGTGTGTCCGTTGTAGCTTCTGGCGATTTCTTCCGTTAGGCTTGCTTTAGCATCACTGTTATTCCTGTCAAAAGTCTTTTGACAGGACTATTTTTTGACATACTATTCGTTATAACGTGTTCAAATTTTTAACGGTCCTCTCGTAGCTTACAGTGCAACGGCCTCAACCGGGGCCACCCGAGGTTTTTTAACCAATCAGAAACCGATTCGTTAACAAAGAATTTCGACTGTGGGAACAGCCGCGGCAGATTCAAAATTTCGATTAATATTTTGAAGCGGCCGCGTTTGATTTTCCGACTGTATGTACAGTTTTAGTCAATAAATAAATGTTGATTACCAAAGCGGCCCTTTGTCGAACAAATTTCAATCGAAAGATACCTGAGCGGTTGAAATTTCAAAACAAACTTCGGCCCTAATAATTTTTTTTACGCCCTTGTGGTTTGCGTAAGCCAATCATTACAAAGCGACCGTTGGTATATACTCCTTGGCTTCCTTTTTTGAGAAGCAGTTAGTGTTGGATAAGTGCGGGATTATGTCCGTGCAACTTAGAATCAATTAAGCTGGTGGGCTTTTCGATAACGGTAGACGTTTACCAAATTTTGTTCGCGAAAGGGTCTTGGATCTTCACCAAGATGGAGTATCTCAGCGCACAATTGCACAACAACTTTGGGCAAGTCGTCGTTTTGTTCAAAATGTCTTGCGTGACTATGATTTGACAAACTCCTGTTTTCAACCACCAAAACGCCACAAAGGTCACACTGTTTTGACTCCAGTTGCTGCTGAATGCATTGAAATTGAAAAAATTTGTAAACCTGGTATCTATACCTCCGAATTACAGAATAGACTTGTATTGGATGGCGTTCTTCACCCAGCGGACTTGCCTCATCCAAGTACAATTACCAAATTCGTTAGAAACGAACTACTGATGACAAAAAAGAAAATTCACGCGGTTCCGTCTGAATCTAAAACAGCAGAGATCGAAGCCCGTACGAACTTCTTTCTTGATCAGGTCAGTGATTTGGTTGTCAGTACAATCCACTTTTTCGACGAGGCAAGTGTTACAAAAACTACAATGAACAGACGATACGGAAATTCAATAATCGGGACTCCTGCCTTTGAAAACCAGAGATCTGCATCCAATGCAACTTTTACAATAAATCTTTTACATTCCTGTCTGGGAGTCGATTTTTTAAATATACTCGAAGGCGCTTCCAACGGTAACGAACTCTTGTTTTTCTTTGAGGAAGCTGCGGAAATAACGAGGCGGGATGGTTCTGTTCTCCTTGAAAGGGGTGATACTGTTATAATGGATAACTGTCCATTTCATCACGGGAGATTCACAGAAAGAGCCTTGAGGGACCTTCTTGGTAAATATGGAGTAAATCTTCTTTTCCAGCCTCCGTACTCTCCGCACTTGAACACTTGCGAACTCTGTTTTCACCAGATAAAGGCTTTTCTCAACAGGAATCAGTTGTTGGCTGCGAGTGAAACAGAAATTGCCATTCACGAAGCATGCGACAGAATCACACAACAGAACATTCGATGTCATATTTTAGGCACTGTGGGTATTTGATATAGAAAGAAACTCATAAGGAGTTTTTGATCTTCTTGTTTTATGCGAATATCTGTACCTGGCAATCATACGCGTGATAAACTAGCTGGAATTGCCTTGGTGCTCGAGAAAAATTACATCTGATAAACAAAGAACTTAGTGGTTTACCTTTTTCAGAAAATAAAAAATAAATTTTGTAAGTGTGCATTGTTACTTATTATTTTTTTTCGTATAAATATTTTGTAGAAACATCAAATATAAGTACAAAAACCTTTGTGGCTTCGTTGTTACAATGTAAGAAAATTGAATTTAAGCGTGGTTTTTTTATCTTTTTTCCGAGAAATGAAATTTTCAAGCCTGACAAGTTTTAACAGCTGTCACGCTGGTATGTAATCTGCGATGTGCATTGAAATATAAAATTTTGCGTTCATCTTTGAGTCATTTCCCGCTTTTTCTCGCCATAATGGCAACGCCGAAAAGTGAAGTGTACCAATGGCTTTGTTCAATTTCTAATGGACTCGAACTCGAGCGTCTAGCTGGGGAATTTGAAAGCAGAGGTTTCCGCACGGTAGATTCTTTGAAATACATAAAGTCGCCGGATCTCGATGTCCTGTTTCCTTCACCTCACAAATTGATGATGGCGGAGAAACGAATCATCGAAAGTGAAATAGAGAAGGTGAAGAGCCTAAAGAGCGGACAGTTACCACCACGACAGCTTTTTCCCGCTGTACCCAGGCAAGTTACTACATCACGAGCGACGAGCGGGGGAAGAAGAAAAGATAGAAATACAAATGGTCAGCGGGGAAACAAATTTAATATTTCATATAAAGACATATCAGTTGTAGTTGCAGAAAACAATAGTGATGTAAAGCCAAAATGTTAAGAGTATACTCAGCTAAATAAAATGTTAAGCAATTTCTCAAGAGTGTGGATGGCACATATATCTTTTACTGCTGCATAAAACAATGGAGGCATCGGAAAAGGCATCGGTGGCATTCGGAAAAATACCATGAAGAATTATATTTACGTTTTGTAACTTGCAAAAAAACAATCGTGTTGTAGAGCCAAAATGTTATACTTCGATTCTTAAAAAGTTAAGCAATTTTTGAAACGCTTTGACTGGAGCAATATTTTTACTGCTATATTAATCAATGGAGGCATCGGAAAAGGCATCGGTGACACCGGGAAAGGCATCAAGAAGAATGTTATTTACGATATGTAACTCCCAGTGTTGTATGACGAAAAAAAAGTATCTTGACTTAAGGCGTTAATCACGGTTGGTTTGCTTTTCACTTCAATTTTGCAATCTCGACTTTCGATTCCGGAAAAATGAAAAGCTACGCAACTCCAAAAAAATTTCGTTCTAGATTTTTATATTTTTAGAGTCATTAATAAGTTTGCATCCTCAGCCTTTAAATATGAAATTTAAATTTTCCATCAGTTGTAGTTCTTTTAGTGTTTATTGTATATATTCAAGTCGCGTTTCATTTCACGTGAAAAAGGCATGTAGGAAAACACAGAGCTTCGAGAAACAGCCAAGTTAAGGCTTATGTGTTTACCATGCTTAAATATTTATAATCAGGGCCACTCTTTTAGGGTTTTTTTTTTTTCAAAAGATCCAGACGTTAAAATAATTCTGTTTTCCGTTCGAAGTGTTTTTTTCATATTTATTTTAACAAATGAACTCGGGATGAAAATTTAACTTTCGAACCGAACGGCAGGTGAAATGTTGTGTTGGTGCCTATGTCCCCCCCCCCCCCCCCCCTCCACGTCTCTGCGAAAGGTATATCCACCTTAAAGAGTAAAAAAAGCTGACGTTTCTAGCGTTAGCCCTTTAGAGCGATTGGAGGAACTGTGGGTTGTGCGTGGGTTTATATGCAGAAAGTGGAGCTACGCCATTGGTGGGAATATGGAGACAATAAAACAGGAATAAATTAGTTGAATGAAAAGCGTTCGTTGATTCGTTCGATTTGGAAGATAAATTTTTGTTCTAGTGTTTTGCGGCTTTTCGAACTGCCTATATGTAAGGAAAGGCCGCAGACTGCCATATGCTGTAATGGCATAATGTGAAGTGAAGGGAAATAATTTTGTGTCAATCTAATGATACTTTTTAATATTCCAAACGGAGAAAAATTGATTGAAACTTGACATTTCTTTGGTTTAAATACTTCAAGACCTGTAAGAGTTTTGTTTTTCTATCACAGAACTAAAAAAAACATTACCATGTACACTCGTTATCTGCTGATTTTGAGGTTGAGTTTTAAGAATGCCTTAAGTAAGGGTGACAATTCAGAGGCTGATTGGTGGAAAGGCAAGTAGAACTGATTCAAGATTAAATGTTCAAATCACTTTGATTCTCTTCGCATAAAGTACTTGTTAGAGCCAACATCTTGTTATATTTAAATTTTTGTTAGGTTTTATTTCAGTAATCTGGATGAAAGCAAATATAAACTGCAAAAAGCATGCAAACAACCTAGCGATTCAACATTTGACCACCAAAATTTCCCCAAACCTTAAAGGTGTTAATGAGAGGCAACAACTTTCTGTTCTGGTTTACACTACATGACGGGTGATTTGGATCAATTTTTCTCATAGAGCAATCAGCATTCATTAATGTGATGTGTGATGTGTTTGCCAATAGCGATTGAGTTCAGTTGTGAAACCCCACCCAAATTAACTCATCATAATTACACTCGACGGGATCTTGGGATCTTATCTCCAAAAAATATTATTTCAATAGCTATAAGTATGTACTACAAAAAAAGCAGACACCTATATACCGTGTAAAAAACTGAGCACATTGGAAAATAAAAAAATTGTTCAATGGTTCAAATATACATCAATTGCAAAATATAAAAAATGGGCTCTTTAAATAAAAATATTTGATGATGTTTTGTCAAATTTTTCCTTGGATCTTTGTATAGAAGTATAATTTTGAGAAACACTTCTATTCAAAATCAAAAACTGTACCAAACACAATGGTTCAAAGATACATTAATTGACAAAATAGAAAAATGGGTTGTCTGGGTAAAAATATGTACAAACTACATAATAAAGTATTTAATTGGGATCTTATCTCCAAAAGATATCTATTATTTCAATAGCTATAAGTATGTGATAAAAAAGCAGACACCTATATACTTTATAAAAAAAACTGAACTCATTGGAAAATGGTTCAATGGTTCAAATATACATCAGTTGTAAAATATAAAAAAAACCTAAATTAGCCACCGTAAAGAGTAAAAAAGCTGACGTTTCGAGCGTTAGCCCTTCGTCAGAGCACTAAATAACCTGCTATACTCTCCCACCGACGCAGCACCACAGTTTCTTTAGAAACTTACCCCTTTATAAAAAAAAAAAAAGGCTCGTCATATAAAAATATTTGATGTTTCGTCAAATGTGTCCTTGGATCTTTGTATAGAAATATAATTTTCAGAAACACTTCTATTCAATACTAAAAACTGCATCGAGCAAAATGGTTGGTGCAGATTACAAATTACATCATAAAGTATTTAATTGAGATCTTATCGCAAAAATAAACTATTTCAATAGCTATAAGTATGTGCTTAAAAAAAGCAGTAATTAAAAAATAGTTTTGATGTAGAAAATTTTCTAATGAACAATTTATGCCATTGATCTAAAAAGTCTAAAACTCTAGCCTCATAATAGCCCAGCCTCAAGCAAATCATTGTCAACTAGTGAATACAGAACCCTGCTCAGACGGACTTGGCTGAGTTCAGTTTGCGTGCGCTTGTAAGGCTTCCTTAAACAGTTGGTATCCTTTTGTTAGCTTCAATTCCTCCAAACTAATTCCTTCCCCTTCATCACTGGACCATGAATCCTAAATGCCAAAGTAGAAAATGTTAAGCCCAAACACCTAAATCAGCTCAAATGATTTGCCAAGGAATGATAGTTGCAGAAGGGAGCTAAATTGCTTCCTCTTTTATATAGAATTTACCTGCCAGATGGTAGTTTTACTTTCCTATACATAAAGAACATTCGCTTGACTGATGGTGACTGGTCATGAACGACAAAAGGCACTCGCATTTAATTCGCAGTCCTCACACATTGTTTAACATATTTTGACCTTTGAAAGTTCTCTACCTCAGGTTTATCCAGAGATAAAGCATGTAAAAAACACCAAAAAGCATCACTTTGACTTCTTCGAAATAATAATGCTTCATATTCAATTCCCAATACCCACCTTATAATCAGAATTGTCTTCAATTTTGCTATCAGCTTCTTTCCTATGAATTTCCTGATAGTTCTTCTGATCCTAAGAATCACGGAAGTCACATTAACGAGTTAATACTACATAGTGGCATTTAAGTTGAATCCATGCTGTCATGCCCTCAAGTACCATGATGTCTTATTTTTCCTCAATTTGGTCGCCTTCTAGTCTGATCTCTAATGTGCCACACTATAGTATGTATATTATGTCAAAGAAATTTCTTAACAAATACTTTTAATCAGTCAATGGTTGGTTGCTGATGACTCCCACACACCAGCAGAATCAACAGAACTAGCACCGGAATAGTAATGCAATTCATTGTTGCCATTATCCGAGTAACTATGTCCACAGTTGATTGGTTCAGTTCCTTTTCATTGTAACCAGGTTACAAGTAATTGATTGGCTAATGTGGCCTCCGGGATGTAAACCTAGTAAGTTGTCATGTATACTCTCTAGAAGTTCTCTGTAGAAAAGATCTTTAAATGCCTCTAATTGAGAGAAATGGGGTGCCATTTTCTATATCGTTATTGACACAAGCCTAACTTATAATAAATCAAGACATCCTTATTCAAGGTTTAGCTAAATCTAAAGCACTGTGCCAACAACTGATCTTTAAAGACTCAGGAAAGGGTAATGAAAATTAACTGAAGTGTACTAAAGGGTTCAAGATTCATCCGAAGCTTGAACAGAAATTTGATAAAACTGTCGCCGTAGAACTTGAGATTTGACTTGTTGTACAACTAAAAGCAGATTTTGAAAAGGGGATCTTAGTTGCCTAAACTGGGTGTAATCAGTTGGGTTAAGCCTTAGAAATAGGAAGGAATTCGAACTGACGTCTTATTCAGATAAATGACTTAGAACTGTGTAAAGAACCCAAACTTCATTTGTAGAGCACAGCCCCCATTGTTTGAGCTGATGAAGACTAGAATAAATGTTTATTACAGTTTCATCACGTCCGACTGGCAACGGGAAGCCTTGAAGAATTTCTTTCAACTAGTAATCAGAAGAACACACCAGACCTTACATTACTGTCTTAATTTTACCTGGAAAGATGATGGAAATGGCATCCCAGCCTTGCCACCCCCTTCCGCTTCGTCATGTTTTGCTTTTTTAGCCCGCATGTTCGACAAATTCGCAGAATACTAGAAGAATAAGACAAGACTCCCTATTAAGCTTTAAAAGTGTCCCGTCACTTTGCTCCATATTTAAGCAAAATGCGACGTAAAATATATAAAAGATAGACATCTAGGTCTATGCCTTTACATAACACAATAAAAAATCTTTTTCGCCATTCATAAATAAATATTTGATAAAAACCATATTTTCATAAATGGCAAGGGGGGGGGGGGCTCCAGAAACCACGGGGCCTATACGAGGGAGGCCTCCTTACTAGAAAAAAAAGAAAACCGTATATAAACGTGGGCGATACGATACGGAAATATTCTTTGGCCAAACCACCAATCTCAATAGTCATTATATCTATCGATTTGGTAATAAACTTCGAAGACGTCTTTTAAAAGAAGCAAAAGCTTCAGAATGCCTAATATCATCCGGTGAGGAATTCCACATTTTCGGTCTATGAAAAAATACAGAAAAATATTTAAGACTGGTTCGACATTGATGATCGGTAATTAGTGCCTCTTCTAATGTTATACGGGTGCATGAGGTTATTGGTGACAAAAAGATAAGAAATGACGGCGTTAGTAATGGGTAATGCCACTACCCCTTACTTGCGCTATCATAGCAGGAGCATTCGGTTCAGAATTGTTACATAAGTAGAAGACCAACCTATATTGAAATAAGGTAGAGGTAGACTAAGGTCTAATACAAAGATAATTTAGTTTTCGTAAGTAAGTAATGAGATATGCATTCAAAGACACAAAGCTTTTGACGCCAGTCAAGTCGACCAAAATTGGTGCGAAAAATAGTTTTCTCAAAAGAGACTTGGTCATCCAGAGAAAATTTCGAACAAAAATAAAGGAGTAGTTTGTCATCCACGAAATACTGAATTGCACTTTTCAGGTGAACAAATTTCGATTTTATTTCAGCAAAAGGGTGCAGTAAGCAGTGTTTCTCCCGATGCGTGAAAAAGAATTAGAAAAATTGTTGACAATACAAGTGGTCTGCGTGTGGTTACGCTCTCATCGATGGCTACCAGAATTTGTCAAAGGCGGAAAGCGGGCCTGTAATTTCAGAGTTGAGGTCGGACGCCAATAAGTGGGTGTTGATTGTGTCATGCAGAATAAATTGCTCATTGATCACACTTTTTAATTAAGAGTCGAATCATTCAACTGGTATTATGTTTTTTTTAGTCGTTGGATGCCCAATATTTGTTTGACATATAAGAGTTAAGCTCGCACGCTAATCAGTGGCTTTTGATCACATCATGCTTTGTAAACAAAATGAATTGCTTATTGATCATACTTTTTAATTAACTGTGCTTAGAGTCCAGTCAGTCAACTGACATTGTTTTTGTGTTTTCTTTAGTCGCTTGATCCCTAGTATTTGTCTCCACATATGAGTCAAGCTCCCACGCTAATAAGTGGCTGTTGATTACGTCCTGCTTTGTAAACAAAATAAATCGCACATTGTTCGTTCTTAATTAACTATGCCAAGTGTCCAATCAATTTCCGTTTCCGTAAAAACTTCATGCTGAACAGTTTTGAAATGTGATTGCTAAAATAGATGATTGCGAGGAAGTGTGGTCTTTAAGAAACTTGGTAGATTATAAAGGGGGGTAAGCTTCTAAAAATATGGTGCTGCTTGAGTTGGGGCTTGGGTTGGGGGTACAGCAAGGTAATTTGGTTTTATCATCCAACTGCACAAAAGTAGAGTACAAATGACGCGCGAATAGAGTAAAAATATCTTGCGATATTTTACAGTTGGTTATTTTGTACCGTAGAAAAACTTGTTTAACCTGACGGTCGGCTGCGCGCGACTTATAGGAAATGAGGAGAAAATAAAGCAATTGGATAATAAATATCAGACGTTTTGGTGTAGTGTTGTTTAGTATTTTTACTCGTTGTTTGTATTTTTGAGATGACGGTTAATCGAGGATATGAAAGACTACCGCACAGAAGATTGGCAAATGAACTTTTTGAAAAATCGATCGAGTCAAATTATATCGACACAGACTAGAAGCATCAGAAAACCTTGCAAACTGTTTAAAGCAGATCAGCTTAGGCTGCTACTCATAATTTGACTTCATGTAAGTTCTTGAACTTACATGAAGTCAAAAAGGAATGTTAAGAATTATACGATCTAAAAGGTCAAGAGCCTTACACCTACCGTTGTGGGTCTGTAAGGAGGAATAACTGTAGGCGCCTTATCTATCGCTGCCATCGATACTCCTTTGAAGTAGTTTTGGATCGTTCTTCCTAGTAATGAAACAGCAAGTTAAGCAATTCAGTGAGGAAACTGAAAAAAGAACTAACATTTGCATTCCGTTGCCGCCCACTCGGTAAACATCAGTTTATCATAAGATCAGAGTCATGCGAATTATCCTCCCGCAACGTCACGTTTATTTTTTCCATTATTTACATAATTAATTTATACATTCCACAATGTATCTAAAAGATCACTCCCCTTGTATAAGACTTCCTTTTTTTGTTGTCATCTGTTTTTGTTTCGTTTTGGGTTTTTTGCTTTTTTTTTCTGTGTTTTCTTTATCAGAAAACTCGGGACTTTTGCAAGGCAAGCTTCAAAGATTCTAAATGAAATAAAGCTTAACAAAAGGCTGACCTTAACCTTGCAAATGACACATTGCAAGGTTATGTCTATTTCCTTTTTAGCTGTTGTTCCTACCTCACGTAGTGGGAAAGTCGAATATGTCGGTTAAACCAGCTGGAAAAGCAGCCAATGCAACTGAAACAATCACACTTCCTTCTCACCATGCCAATAGAAACAGTCGGGGGATCGAGACGCAAAGGAAGGTTTCGAAAGTTATATGCGGAAGAACGTGCACGGGCAAGCCGTAAGCGGGCTAATTCCGCCTGCTGATGGAACCAATCAGATTTCAGATTGCAGGATTTGTTCAATCGTGCATGCTCATGAACCGTGAATAGAATAATCATGAGTGCATATACAGTATAAGTGTACAATTTGTCGCGCGACACAATTTGGCCTGAATTTGCTCTCGTCGATCCCTCTAACATGGACACTAGGAGCTTCATCGAAAACACTTTACGCTCAATCGGCAAAGAAAGTAAAAGATTGAAGAAAAGTGTCCAGGAATTTTATGATAAACTTCTGGTACCTGTTAACGACCAGATCGTTCAAAACAAAGTTTTGCCCGAGACAAAGGAAAGACTGCAATGTTGTTTCAAAGACATTTACTTGAGTTTAAAAGTTCATGTGATGTTCTACCGCGGAATCGATAAAAAGCCATTCGAGGTGAGAAACATAAAACAATCGATCATATACAAGTGTCCCAAATTTCGAGTGTCCTTGCTTTGCCATTTGCAGGAAAACGACAAAAAGATCGATGAGACCCTCAAAAAGATTCGTCACCTCCTTGACCTAAAAAATGAAGATATGGATCCAATAGATGCACAGATAGAGGGCTCAACATACCACGATTTGTTTGATAAACTTATCGACCCTGGAAGCAAAGTCCTGGAAATGGTGAGTAAAGAGATAGTTAAAAGTCCCAGTTTCCAAGTTCCACTGCATCACCATTTGCAATAGGTTGAGATGTAGCACACTCCGTCATTAGGAATGAAAAGGCCAGGAAACAGAATAAGCAGCTTGCGCTCAGAATCTCTCAAGCAATAGATAGATATTGTGTTCTAAGAAGTAAACATAGAATGCAAATTTCATGTAACAAGGCTATTTACGGCTTGGCTTCATGTGTGGACGCTCTCCAGGGTCGTCACGCGTTCCTGCTTTCTCTCCCCCCTCCCCCCCCCCCCCCCCCACGAACGTCTGCTCAACGTGGAAAGAAGTTACCATTATGTGCGGGCTGTAATACCTGCTATGTCGTCGAAACCTCTCGGTATTTATCCACACGTGTGCGTGAGCACTAGGTCAGAGATAGGACCTCACATTTTAAGGCATTTACAAACCTCTCAACATCGTCGCACTGTATGTTCTGACGGGTGTTTTAGCATCTTAGATCACGCTTCCACAACTATCCAACTTAAAATCAAAGAAGCTATTCACATTCAATGGGAGCAACCTACACTTAACCATCAACTGTATCATGTTAATTCAAAACTTTCCCCGCAATTGCATACATTGTTTTGTTTCTATTGTTTGTTTTGTCCAATGAGCATTTTGTTATACACTTCAAATAAGACTTTGTATAAATCAGAACCGAAGACAACAGAAGAACTGTCGAAACATTATTGAAAAAAATGTCACATATTTTCTTATCTGCTACCATTAAGCCACCACTATCGATTGCCACTGGTTTGCCTAAATGAGCAGCAATTTAGCAGTTGCAGAGAAAAGGCCTGAAATTTGTAAGCGCGCCAAATTGGAACCACAACGAGGTTATTTTCCTGCTTCATCTGCTCAATGGAAAACAGAGCAAAGAAAATCAAGGATGTACTGGGAAGGAAAGTGAAGAAGAACTGATGCCATCCCAACATAAATACCCGGAAGCAGGGCACGGTCTTAAATGGATGAAAGACCAGGCACTTGACAAGAGCGTTTGATGATATTAGTAACACCGACCAATCGATTATTACACCTAAGCTTGCTTTTTCTTGAGTTAATCAATCCTTGTACGTTGTTACATTTCAGTTCCGCGTCGTTGCAGCGTCCCCAAAAGGTACTCCCCAGGAAAAGAGCATCCAAACAGGAAGTAAGGATCATGCCAATCGAGTATTACAAATGGCTCGAAGCTTTCTACGAACACTTCATGACAAAAACACCTTCCTGCCGAAAGTTTTAGCAAAGGTGTCGCGTGAAGAAAATTCTTTTATCGGTGCTTCAATAGCAGTAAGCCATTTCTTAAGGCCCATCTATTTGTACAGTAGAGTCATTAATCGCAAAAAGAGTCTCGCGGAAGCAATTATAAAATTCCGAGCCTTAGATATTTCCCCTGAGCAAAACTGGGAATTTAAGGCATTTGAAAGGGAAACTGTAGAAATTCAAAAAAATGAGAGAGAAAAAGAAATTACTAAACAACATGTAGGCCCCAAAGACCTTTGTCAAAACTGTGAAATGATGTTTCGTGGGGATAAGTCAGGAAAAGGAGGTCGTTCTTTTCTCGGTGCATGTGCAGAGTATTGTCCTGTTGACGAGCTTCTCCCTGATGAATCGAAGTTAAAGGACTCACTTGATGACTCAGTAATCGGCTATCTTCTGAATAGAAACCTTTCTCGATGCTCACTTCTGTTTAAAGAGTTTGAAAATATCTACGAAAGATGCAAATCTGCTGTAAACTCGAGAGATGATGATAGAGAAGTGGAGGCGGTTTACTGGGAAGTGATACATAAATTGAACATTTTTGGTTTAAAGCCAGAATGTAATCCTTACTTTTAATTTTCTTTTGGTCCCTTTTTTATCAGCGCTTTACTGGAACAAAATTGTTCAAATCTAACAGTTGAAAGAGTTTTGAGTTTTTTGTTATTTCAAAACCGAAATTTCTTCTTTTGAACAATGCAAAAATGTGTGGTAAACAATCCGTTATGCTTTATATCTTATACACTTAGTTCAACCGAGACTGTAGAGGACAAAAGTTTTTAAAGGTTAGACTCAGTTGCGATACTTTATGCATCTTACACAGAGCTGAGAGATCAGTGTTCCACAGGAAAATCGATCATTTCCCTTTAAAAAAAAGGTCAATTTTCTTGTATAGAAGAGAGCTGTAAATGTTTTCATTGTTAAATCGGTGAATGTTCGCTTTTTCTTAATTAAATTTTGCCTGTCATGTTCTGTCATTTACATAAGCTTTTTTGGCTATTTTTTGTTTCACATATCACGTGTCCGTGAGTGATGGGGACCGAGCATTGCATAACAAAAGTCTTAGAATAATTATAATCGTTACTGCTGTATCTAACTAGTGACTAGAGTTGTAGTTACAAGAAAAAATCTCACACAAGATTTGTTTTCAGTTGGAAGTTCTCTTTTCAAACAATTATTAGATTGAAAAGACTATTTTAACTCTAAAATTCCCCTGAAATCTGAACAGTGACAAATCAGTACATGACAAGAAACAAGTGGTTCTCTAGTCAGCGGTTGTCTGAATATCAGGGTGGTATTGTTTAAGAAATTTTGGGTAATGTCAACTATATCCATAATCATCCCATACAACTTTATCACTCTTTTACCATAAAACCGATAATACCCGAAAAACTAAATTATCCGAAACAAGTTTTCATACATCAACATCTTTTAATATAAAAAAAATCTTAAAACTTAACATGTACAGCTTGGGAATATTGGTCTGCTCTTTACATCAGTGAAAAGACCAATGATTGTGGAAAAATTGAAGAGATGATAACACCATTACGTCAACTGACTTAATAAAGAGTAGCTCCTAACCATTTCCTCGATGTCACCCATGATAAGAAATATCTACGAGCCAAGAACACTGAAACTGTTATTAAAGCATTTTTGTTATCTAAGATGGACCATCATGTGGCAAATGTCATTCTTCCACGTTCCGAACTATTGGAAGTTCTCTTATGCTAGAAACACTGCTGCTCGTGTTATAAATTACTTTCACCATTGGGCGCCCAAAGAAAATCTTAATTGAGTACCACCATCTATCTATTGCTAAATGCATCAAGTTGAAGTTTGTATTGCTGTCCTTCAAGGCCTTACGAAACCAGTCTTCAAGTCTTGGTTAAGACTTTTTTTCCTACCACATCCAAAGTAGATCCTCACCATCATCAGCTGGTCCATGTTTAGACCGTGACTAGAATGTGCAAAGGTTCACAGGGCAAGAAACGTTTCACACCTTTTGATGGCCAAATGTTAAGTTATGTTTAAAATCTAAGTACCAGAAATGCCAACCACGAAGGAAATACAAAGGTGTCCTGAGGAGTCTTAGGACACTCCTAACTTGAAGTTAATAGATTTACGCAGGGCTACAAGTTTATCAGCCCGTGGCTGAACTAAATCTGAAATAGTAGTAGTAGCATACAAAAAACGGACTGATTAAAGCCATATATCCATTCCAATTTTCTCACACAGAAAAAGGATAATTACAAATGTACAAAAAATATTATAAATTGTTTTTGGTTGTCCCAAGTATTAAAGATAACTGTTTTTCTGCACTAATTTCTAGTTTAAGTTTTGGTGCAGGAGTGATTACAGATTTATGAATAGCTGGTAGTCTGTTAAGGGGGTTAACTACTCCTAGCAGAGGTTTTCTTAATCGCATGTGCACCCAAGGCTTCCTTTTACAGCCTGTCTCTTTCGGATTTCTTGTATTCTTCCAGGCTGATTCCTTCCTTTATTTCACTTGACTGTGATTGCCATTGAACCTTACGAAAGGCGGACAAGTGGCTTCGTCTCTTGCTCACATATTCTTCGTTGATGACTCAACAGAAATCTTACTCAGAACTCATGATCAGATGCATTACGATTACAAACATAAGAATAAACAAAATCTAGGCCATCTTGAGGCCCCTTTGTTCTTAGGAATTTCCCAAACTACTAGAATACTAAGAAAAAGTTTTCCGTCATGACTGTCATCCGCAATTCGTTGTTGTCATAGGCTTTGACGAAATTCGAAAGTAATTGACGACGATTCCAAATCTAATCAAGTGCATAAAGTCGAGAACTACATGACACAAGAACTACGTGATACCCAGCCTGGCATACAAGAGTAGGCTGGAACGGTTGGTTCGTCTAAGCACGGGAGCGGTTGGTTCATCTGTGCACAAAGTAGTTAAAATGAGGATGTATCTTTTCGTCAGGAACATATGATGTACTTTAGCTTTTAAGGTGGATTCGGTTTTTCTTTTGCTCCATTCCCCATACATTTTCTCCAGTTCTTCCTATAATCGTACAAGTTATAAACAAGAGTTAACTACTTGAGATATATAGATTCTACGACGAGTACGATTTCGAGTTCGAGATTTTCTAACACTGAAATAGTTGGCGCGCGCGAGCTTGCGCTACTTTGGCCGGGAAAACCAAATAAATCAAAACTTTTTAACAGGATTTTTTTGCGAATATGGCGTACAAGAAACCGACAAACAATCCGTTATTTAGTATTTCAAACCAGAAGAGGGTTCAATTACGCCTCATACGGAACCTATGGCGCGAAACCTTGCGCGCTCAAGTTTAAAGAACTCTCAGTGTCAACAAAACGTAATAATCACCAAAACAATTGTTAAACTTTAGAATCAACAGAAACCCCGAATTTCTCTTCGCGGCGAATAGTGTAACAAACGTCCATATACTTCTTTCTCCTTTATTTTAGTTAGAAATGAGTAGAGAGAGATCCCAGCCTGCTAATGTGCTTCAGAGAAAATATATGGAGATGCGATGCGTCGTCTAGCAGTTTTATGGGATGAAATTTTGCCAAAAGCACACAACCTTTAGGATTGTATGCTTGCAATTTTACAATTTATTGAAGCTTGCAGGCGAAAATATTTTTCGACTGCAGGGCTGTTCAGTTAACGACTTCCACAGATGTCAAATAAGGGAGTTTCACACAAATAGTGCACTGAAGCCCATGTTAGAGACGAAAAAATTGTCCCAGGATAAAGTCACAAAGGCAGTAAATTAAATATGCATAAACCTGAACTGTTATCTCAACTTTCAACTCATGGCAGGATATCTATTGATGGTAAAATATTTCAAAACGTTGACAACTAAGATCCCAAATATATTTTGGAACTGCCTGAATAAGAATGTTTAATTAACAAAAAAACACTCTGTCTGGCAAGCCTTTCCCAATTAATGGCGTACAAGAAAACGAAAAACAATCCGTTATTTAGTATTTCATATCAGAAAAGGATTCCATTACGCCTCTTACTGAACCTATAGCGCGAGACCTTGCGCGCTCAAGTTTAAAGCATTCTCAGCGTCAACAAAACGTAACAATCATCAAAACAATTGCTAAACTTTAGAATCAGCAAAAAACACGAATTACTCTTCGCTGAAAAAGGTGTTATAAACTTTCTATACCTCTTTCTCCCTTCTTTTAGTTAGAAAGGAGTATAGAGATCTCGGCCTGCTAACATGCTTCAGAAAAAATATAGGGAGATGCGGTGCATCGTCTAGCAGTTCTATAGGATGTAAAAACATTTTGCTAGAAGTACACAAACTTTGAGATTGTATGCTACCAATTTTGCAATTTATTGAAGTTTGCAGGTGAAGATATGCTCTCGACTGCAAGGCTGTTAATTAACCACTTTCAAATTTGTCAAATAAGGAGATTTCGCACAAATAGTGCACTAAAGCCCATGTTAGAGACGAAATATGTGTTCTAGGGTAAAGTCACGGCTCAGGCAGTAAATTAAATATGCATAAACCAGAACCGTTATCTCAACTTGCAACTCATGGCAGCATATCTATTGATGGTAAAATAATTCAAAATATTGACATCCAAGATCACAAATATATTTCACAATAGCCTGAATAGGAATGTTTAATTAACAAAAAACCACTCTGTCTGGCAAGCTTTTGGCAATTGAAAAATCAGTGATGGGGTCGACGTCCTCCAAATATTCTTCGTCTCCTGTCACACACTTTCTTTCCAATATACAACTTTGCAATATGCATTTATATACATACAGTCATAAACTTTGAGTTTCTGAGCACTTCGCTAAATTCAGGTTTCCTTTGTTTCGGGTGACAGATGTACCTTTAATGGACGTGACTAATAGTGATAGTGAAATGAATTGTTTCTCTTATTTTCATCATAATTAAGAAGGAATTTTGAATCTTTTGCTTTATCTACACAGAAAAACAAGGCAACAGATAAGATATTGATGCACGCGAAACTATGATATGAATGTGTTGGCTGGGCCTGTATTAAATTTTAACTTCTACCTGAGAATAGAATCGAAATTGACGCAGTGAACGGGAAGGATGTTGTTGTATGTCACAAGCCTATTCCTTCGCCTTCGGTTTTCTCCTTTTCGAGGAGTCTTTTTTCTTCCGCAATTTCGTTAAAAGTATACGAGAAGTTATAACTGAGAGACTTCTAGAGAGGGAGATGAATCGCACTTGGAAAACAAGAAAACTAAACCAGTCCTTGTGCTATACCTGTGTAGTCGGTCTCGTCCCTACTGAAAAAGTTCAGATGTAGCACGATTGCGCGGTCTTTCTTCAAATCACCTCAATGCTGGAAGCATTTGATAAAAAAGACATCTAAGATAGTTCTATTTATTTCATCAATATCATCTACTCTAAAAGTTAGAACTGAAAAAAGAGGCTAGTGAGACTAATAATCCAAACCCAACCGAGTCTCCACCATTACTGGTCCCATCCATCCATGCGCAGACACCGCCCGCCTTTGTATTCAAAAGATTACGAATACTGACTTATGAAACAGACTTTGCTATATATTTATATTCATTGTACCAGTCTGCGTTTTGTGATGGTTTTCCTAGATAACGTATAACTACACATGAACTTTTAGGTGAATTGACAATTTAATTGCTTTCTTGAACCATTTCGAGTTATGTTTCATCGTTTCCTTTTAAACAACAGAGAGGATTTGTAACAAGTAGTCACATGAAGTAACAGTGCGCTGTTCCCGCCTTCGCAGGTCACATGAGAGACACAGATCAGCCATGTTGCAACAGTGCGATTGAAGAAGATTACCTTATGAGCTTTTTGTCTCTCAATAGTTTTCCCTGCATGTTACAGATCGCATAAAACTCTTTAAAAGTAGTAGAATATAGAACATATACTGGAAAAAAGTCAAATATTCATTTTACATCTCTCACACAGAAAATGGACAATTAAAAAGTGTAAGTAATTTTATTGAATTTTCGTTCTGGTTCCCTTAGAGTTAAAGAAAACTGTTTGGATCAATATCAGTATCTGGGCAACTGCCCACCTACCCCTCCCCTAACTCAACAACAGTCAATTGATAACATGTTGGGCTAATGCTGGGTTAGGGGAGGGGTAGGTGGGTAGTTGCCCAGATACTGATATTGATCCAACTGTTTTTCTGCACTAATCTTCAGTTTAAGGCTTGGTGCAGGACTGAGTACAGATTTATGACTATCAGGCAGTCTATTTAGCAGGCAGTCTGGGGCAGCTTTTCTTGATCGCATGTGCTGCCAATGCTTCCATAAACAGCCTGTATCCTTCGGTTTTCTCGAGTTCTTCCTGGCTGATTCTTTCCTTTACTTTACTTGACTGTGATTTCTGATGAGTGTAACGAAAAGTAAAGACAGACAAATAATTTTGTTAAGAACATAAATATACAGAACTTACTTTGCCTCTTGATAAAATTTCACCATAGATGGCAGTTCAAAAATGTTATTGTGAGTGATCAGATGAAATACGATGACAAAGATTAGAATGACTAAAAAACAAACCCAAATAATCTAAGACATCTCGAGGCTTTTCAAAGAAGGAGATCCCTGCCGCACCCTGTTGTTAATAATCTCCCGAACTATAGCAATAATAAGAAGGCACTCTTGAGACATGACGACCATTCGCGATTCATTGTTATCATAGACAATCATAGGCTCGAAAAAAACAGAAAGTGACTGGCGAAGATTATTGAAATATATAAGGGCCTAAAATATGACTTATCAATGAGAATGGTTAGTTCTAAAACGAAAACTTCATGGCACCGAGCCTGGCACACCTGATAATCGGTGTCGCTTGGAGCGGCTGGTTCACCTATGCACAAAGTAGTGAAAATGAGGGTGAATCGTTTCGTCTGGAACATGTGATGTATAGTAGCTTCAACACTCACCTTAGAAACCGAATTCAAGGTGGATTTGATTTTCCTCTTCTTTCGTTTCCCGGAAATTTTCTCCGGTTCTTCCTAGAAACGTAGAAGTAACGAAAAAGAGTTTATTATTTGAATCTGTAAATTCTAATGCGAACACGATTCCTAGTTCGGGATCTTCCAACAATCCAATAGTGAAATAGCGGGCGCCCGCGAATCTGCGCTACCTTGGTAAGAAAGACGCAATAACCTAGAACTTTATATAGGACGAGCAATTATGATAATTATGGCGTACAAGATACTTACAAACAAGCAGATATTGGAAAAGGGTTCCATAACGACCCTTTCGAAATAGGGGAGATGTGACTTATCTTCCAGCAATTTTATGGGGCATGAAGTTTTACGAAAAGCATATGACCTTTGAGATTGTACGCCTCTGATTTTACAAATTACTGAAACTCAGTTGCTGGCGAAAATGTTTTTTGACGGCAAGGCTGTTGCATCAACCACTTTCGAAGTTATCAAAATAGGGGTTCCCACAGCTAGCTCTTGGAGGCCTTTAAGCCCATGTTAGAGACAAAAAATTTTCGTATGTTAAAGTCAAGTCATATTTAGTATTTTAAAGCATGAAAGGGATCCATTACGCCTCTTATCAAACCTATGGCAAGACCTTGCGTGGTTTAGTTCAATGAATTCTCCGGGTTAACCAAACAGAACAATGATCAAAACAATTGCAAAACTGTGGAATCAACAAAATTTTCAGAATTACTCTTCACACAATAAAATGCGACAAACTCTACGTACTTCTTCCTCCTTTTTTTCAAGAAAGTAAGTTAAAAAGGAGCTTAAAGATACCAGCCCGCTAAGATGCTTCAGAAAAAAATAAGGAAGATGTGACGTATCGTCTAGTCATTTTATGGGGCGTAACATTTTACCAAAAGCAAACAATCTTCCAGATTTTTATGCTTATGATTTTACAAATTATCGAAACTTGCTAACCAAATATTTTTTTACGGCTTCTTCAGTAAATTAAATACGTTCAAACCAAACTGTTATCTCAAATTTCAGCTCATAGGACGATATCTATTGATGGTAAAGTATTTCAAAACATTGACAATTAAGATCCTAAATATGTTTCGGAACAACTTGAATAGGAATGTCTATATAAAAAACTTATCTTTCTGGCAAGCTTTTCGCAATTAAAAACCAGACCTAATTATGCCGATTGGAATCGATGAAATTTTTGTCCAATAATGTCAGCTATCACATACTTTTTTTCAGAAACTTTGTAGTATGCATCTGCATAACTAAAATTCTAAATTTTGAGATCATGAAATTTTTTTTCAATTCAGCTTTCCTTCATTTTAGTCGACAGGTATGTTTCCAAAATTGAAGCGATGATTAATAATGATACCAAAAATAAATTGTCTCCTATTATCATAATAATTAAGAGGAGATCTTGAAGCTTTTGTCTCATCTACCCAGGGAAACAAGGTAACAGGTAAAATATTAAAACGAAACTGATATGGATGTGATTGCTAGGCCTTTGTCAATTATTAACTTCTACCTAAGTATGGAATCGAAATTGTAGCAGTGAACGTGAAGGATGATGTTGTATGTCACAAACCTTTTAACTTCTTCCTTCGCCTTCGTCTTTTTCCCTTTCCCTTTTAACTCATACATTATGAAATATTCATTTCTCGTAGCAACGAATCAACCAATCACTTGACAAGGTGACAAGTTGCATATCTTGCATGGCTTTGATGGTTTTAATGGGGGGTGCTGTTTTAATAATCATATGGAAAACATTTATGTCATTAGGTTTCTGTGGTTTGTTCATGAGATGATGCGACGATCATAGCAGAAAGTGAAAAAATTAAAATAACAAAGATTTTCTGTTTCTAAGTAACAGGCAAAATATTAATAAACGCGAAACCGATATGAATGTGTTGGCTAGGCTTATGTTAATTTTTTAACTTCTACCTGAGTATCGAATCGAAATGGAAGCAGTGAACAGGAAGGATGTCGTATGTCACACGCATTATCACTTTCTCCTTCGCCTTTGCCTCTTTCCTTTTCGAGATGTCTTTTTTTCTTCTGCAATTTTTTAAAATGTATATGAGAAGATATCACTGAGAGACAACAGAGAATGAGATGAATCGCACTTGGAAAACAAGTTACACTTGTATTGTCGGTTTCATCACAACTGAAAAACTTAAGATGTAAAATGATTGCATGTTCTTTCCTCAAAACATTTCAATGCTGGCAGCATTTGATGAAAGTAAGATTTAAGCTATTTCCATTTATTTCATCTGTATCAAAAAAATTAGAATTGAAAAAACTTAGCCTACCAGTGATTCTCTTGTAAAGACATCGTTCGCGGCATCAGCATAAAGCAACTGGGACAGTTTGACTGACTTGATTCTAACTTGTTCGGGATTGTCATTTAGAGTCGTTGAAAACGGATCATTGCAATTCACGTCCATGACAGCACCTCTGTTTTGAAAGTTTCGAAAACAAGTTTTCAATCAGTTTGCCAAAATTTTTTGCAATCGTTTCCAATTAACTCATACATTATGAAATATTTATACTGAGTCAACCAATCACTTGACAAGGCGAAAATTACAGGCGTATTAAAGTGTGTAGAACAGATGGGGGTCAACACCTGCCATTTTAAAGCATCTTTAACGCACGACTCCTTATGCCGAGACTTACAGATTAAAGTTTAGGATAACTTGACCACTGTCGATCCCTCCAGCATGGAGGTTGGGTATTTCAGAACATATATTGCCGACAGAATGAAACTCTTTCGAGAAACGATAACGCAGGATGTCAATGAATTTTTAGGAGCCATTCTTGAACCGCTGGGAATGAAATACTTCATGGAAGAAGAATATTCTTTAAATGACGAACTTGTGACGAAACTAAGAGGATGTTTTAAAGACTTGTACTGGAGTTTAAGAGTTCACTTGTACTTGCACCTTAAAGAACTTGTCATGCCGCCTGATACTGGGAGACTCCTTGAAATGGTGGGCAGATGGGGCGACCTGAGCGAAGATGAGATGAAGATGTATATAGACTCAAACCATATAATAGACCCTGCAAGCAAACTCTTGGAAATGGTGAGTAGGAAAGCGGTCAGGAAAATACATTAGAATATCGGCCATGGATCGCATGCATTGCAATCACATCTTTAGTGGATTGAGATATCTGATCCCTTGCTTTTTTTTCCTATCTTATCTTACTAATAATTGCTAAGGAGCATGAATGGAACTGGATCACAAACTGAAAGGAGATCAATTTGAATTCAGGGCAGCTTTTTTTTGTCCCTGTCAGAACTATATTAGTGCTGTGAAACGGTATTTAGCTTAATCAAAAAGGGTACCTCTTCGAGCTGCTGATAGCTCTTCCAAGTTATTGGGTCATTTTACTGAAATTAACTTCCCGAATAAGTGAATGAATTTCAGACTAAACATTTGCGATTTATGATGGCCAGTATGCAGAGAGCGAGTTTGGTTCCAGGACGGTCAAATCAAAAGGGTGAGTGAGCACCCACGGACAGTCTTGAGAAAACATTTTGTCCGTAAAGTTTTACTTGATTTTCTAATTTCACAAATTTTTGCATATTGCTACATTTCAGTTCAGCTGCGTCATGGAAAATCAGTTTACCAAAAGAGGGAGCGAAGAGCACGCCAACGGTGTATTTGAAATAGCAAAGTCCTGGCTAGGCTGTCTAGATCCCGAAAACATCTTCTTACCAGACGTTTTGGCGATAGTTGAACATGTGCCCTCGAAGAGGTTTTTCGTGGGTGCATCAATAGCAGTAAGTGACTTCTTAAGGCCTATCTGTTTGCACAATCGAGTCATTAATCTTAAAGAAAAACTCGGAGGTGCAGTAATACATTTCTGTACTCTGAATGATCCAACTCGACATGATTTGCTATTTTCATATGCCCTTAAAACTCAAAGCTATGTTGCCTTGACTCGTGGGCTTCCTTGCCAAAATTGTAAACTGTTGTTCCAAGGAGATAGATCGGGAAGGGGAGAACCCACAATTCTTGGTGCATGTGCCGAATATTGCGCTGTTAATGAGCTTCTACCAGAAGAGATAACTTTAAAGTACAGTCAGAATAAGCGTGTAAATTCAAAAGTGGAGGGAAACTTTAAACAATGTATCACTCTCCTCAAAAACTACAGAGATATGTCGGAAAGGTGCATTACTACCTTTGAAAACGGAAACCAAAATGAAATGGAGACATTGTACTTGCAAGTGAAATACCTTTTCCCCACTTTTGGCCTGAGGCCAGAGTTTAATCGTTGCTTGCAACAGGATACTGAGCCCGTCAACAATCGGTGATCAGAAAAAAATTCGACTTCTATTTTCTGGTAATGAGGGGAATTTCTGGTAGAATAAAACCCAAGTTACGCTCTTTGAGTTTTGAATTATATTTGCTCGGTAAAGATGGCACTCTTTTAGGTTGAAGTTGAAAATTATGCTATATGTTATTACAGAACATTTATTTTTCCAATTAGCTAGGTTTATTGTCTTCTGTGAAACTGGGATTGCTACACAGTTTTCCTCTTTCGATCTGTTGTAACGTCACTTCGTTATAGTTACTTCAAAGTATTAAAATATGTTGCATGTGTGATTCCGCCCCATGGATGTCAAGCAGCGCTCCACAAAAAGTAAGACGGAATTTTGCGTAACATACGAAAGAATGATGGTGAAAGGGACTACCTCTTATAGGCATTGAAACACAAGCTGAGAGGAGAAGGATGAGCCAGTGACCAGTATGGCTCACTTATCACTGCTCTTCCTCACATAAGTCTTGTTAGGAACTCATAACATTCATGTATTTGTCTCTAAATTGTATCAATAAGATGTAATTGTCAACTAAAAAACTTACTTAGAATGATCGACACAAGTTATATCACTTGTTAATCCGCTTATATTGAATCTCGTCCGAATAATGTATGCAAATCTGTGGCAAATCAATAAAAAAAAACCACAAAAGATTCTTAATAATAAGTTGTTTGAGTATTAAGATCATGCTTTTGAACAAAAAAATCAGGGTAAGGCCAGCTTTTCACAAGCATTATAACCTAGGCAATTTTGCAACCCTGTGCGCCTAGGAAACCCGCAGATGCCCCCAAAATATTCAGACCTCAAACACACGTTTCTGTTTTCAGTCTTATATTCAACATCCTAAATCCTAAACAAGAGGCTTGAATGTTGGAGATTGTTCCACTCTTCTCCATTTAGATGAAAAGAATGATGAATTTTCTCCAGCTTTGCCTTGAATGGTACAAGTTTTAACAAGAGCTACGTATTTGAGATGTACAGATTCTACGACGAGTACGATTCCGAGATTTTCTCAGGGTTAGTTGGCAGGCGCAAGCCTGTGATACTTCGGCCGGAAAGACAAAATAGATAAAAACTTCTTTAGACGAGTTTTTGCAAATATGGCGTACAAGAAATCAAAAAACAATTCGTTATTTAGTATTTCCTATCAGAAAATGGTTTCATTACGCCTCCTACCGAACCTATGGTGCGAGTCTTTGCGCGGTCAAGTTTAAAGAATTCTCAGGGTCAACAAAACATACAATCATCAAAACAATTACCAAACTTTAGAATGGACAAAAAACCCGAATTACTCTTCGCTGAAAAAGGAATACCTCTTTCGCCTTTCTTTTAGTTAGAAATGAGTATAGAGATCCCGGCCTGCTAAAATGCTTCAGAAAAAATATAGGGAGATGCGGTGCATCGTCTAGTAGTCTTATGGGACGTAAAAAAATTTTCAAAAAGCACATAACCTTTAAGATTGTATGCTTCCAATTTTACAGTTTATTAAAACTTGCTGGCGAAAATGTTTCTTGACTGCAAGGCTGTTAAATCACCACCTTTAAATTTGTCAAATAAGGGGGGTTTCGCACGAATAATGCGCTAAAGCCCATGTTAGAGACGAAATATGTGTTCTAGGATAAAGTCACGCCTCAGGTGGTAAATTAGATATGCATAAACCAGAACTGTTATCTCAACTTGCAACTCATAGCAGGATATCTAGTCATCGTAAAATAATTCAAAATACTGACATCCAAGATCACAAGTGCATTTCACAACAGCCTGAATAGGAATGTTTAATTGACAAAAAACCACGCTGTCTGAGAAGCCTTTGGCAATTGAAAAATCAATGATGGGGTCGACGTCCTCCAAATATTGCATAACTTTGTCTCCGCCTATATTAAATTTTAACTTCTACCTGAGAATAGAATCGAAATTGACGCAGTGAACGGTAAGGATGTTGTTGTATGTCACAAGCCTCTTCCTTCGCCTTCGGTTTTCTCCTTTTCGAGGAGTCTTTTTCCGCAATTTCGTAAAACGTATATGAGAAGCCATAACTGAGAGACTTCAGAGAGGGAGATGAATTGCACTTGGAAAACAAGAAAACTAAACCAGCCCTTGTGCTATACCTGTATAGTCGGTCTCGTCACTACTGAAAAAGTTCAGATGTAGCACGATTGTGCGGTCTTTCTTCAAATCACCTCAATGCTGGAAGCATTTGATAAAAGAGACATCTTAAGATAGTTCTATTTATTTCATCAATATCATCTACTCTAAAAGTTAAGAACTGAAAAAAGAGGCTAGTGAGACTAATAATCCAAACCCAACCGAGTCTCCACAATTACTGGTCCAATCCATGGCATTAATTACAAGAACAGTGGTCATTCCATGCGCAAACACCGCCCGCCTTTGTATTCAAAAGATTACGAATACTGACTTATGAAACAGACTTTGCTGTATATTCATATTCATTGTACCAGCCTACTTTTTGTGATGCAGGTAATTTAGTGTTAACAACTGGGTTGAAAACGTAAATTAGCCAACGTAAAGGGTGAAAAAAGCTGACGTTTCGAGCGTTAGCCCTTCGTCAGAGCTTTTTTTACCCTTTACGGTGGCCAATTTACGTTTTCAACTCAGTTGTTAACACTAAATTACCTGCTATATTCTCCCACCGACGCAGCACCACAGTTTCTTTAGAAACTTACCCCTTTACTTTTTGTGATGGTTTTCCTAGATAACGTACAACTACACATGAACTTTTAGGTGAATTGACAATTTAATTGCTTTCTTGAACCATTTCGATTTATGTTTCATCGTTTCCTTTTAAACAACGGAGAGGATTTGTAACAAGTAGTCACATGAAGTAACAGTGCGCTGTTCCCGCCTTCGCAGGTCACATGAGAGAGACAGATCAGCCATGTTGCAACAGTGCCATTGAAGAAGATTACCTTATAAGCTTTTTGTCTCTCAATAGTTTTCCCTGCATGTTACAGATATCATAAAACTCTTTAGAAGTAGTAGAATATAAAACATATACTGAAAAAAAGTCAAATATTCATTTTACATCTCTCACACAGAAAATGGACAATTAAAAAGTGCAAATAATTTTATTAAATTTTCGTTCTGGTTCCCTTAGAGTTAAAGAAAACTGTTTTTCTGCACTAATCTTAAGT